TCTGTGCACGGAAGTACCTGTAATGACTGGTAGTTGTCTGTATGCAGCCAATTTTGGCTGAAATATATTTTGCACCAAAATCCTTTCCATGAAAAAAAGATCTTTTTTAAATTTCTCTGAATTCAATATTTCTTCTGAATCGTTCACCGGTGATATCCTTCGAACAGTAAGTTTCTCTAGGTCTGTCACTGCACTTGAATTTATATCTGGAAAAGGAAAGGCATTTCATTCTTGTTTCAAAACTTTGCTTGCTTTCACGTGTAATGTCTAAAATAGTCCAAGTAGAAACATTCGCTTAATCAGTTTGGCTACTTTGGTATCACATTATTGAATAACACTAACTGTGTAATCATGGAAGTTTAGTAATTAGACAGCTTTCTCAAAAAGTGTAAATGGAGGCTATGTGTCCCTTAATCAACAGAGATTTGAGCAGTGAGACTGCAGGGGCATGATCTATGCAACAGAACTGCTTCATTAAGGCAATGTTGTTTTGGTGATTAGCGTACACCTTTAATTTACTGCTAATCCAGTGCACACTGGGAGACTGATGAGCATTGATGATAGGAAATAGAATGCATCTTATAGAGAAGCATTGCAATGCAGGGTACATTCAGCAAGTTAAAGTGCTTTATGGATGTGGTGTGTTCTTTCAAAGTTTTCTTCAAGGATGAAATTTGTAACTGACGGCTCCCCTTACACAATAAAGTAGTACGCACACTAACTGATCAGTCGGCTGTATTCCCTTTGTTTTAATATTGAGTACACACATTAAGAATGCACCTTGTCTGTATATGACACGTGAATCATATAATTCCTTGTACAATTCTTTAAAATAATAAATATGCATGAGGTCTGTGCCCTTAAAATCCCATGTCCTTTGTTCTAAACCAACCCACCATGGCATGATGCTCCGTAGTAAATATTAAATGTAGTTCGTTCTATATGGGCTGCTGTAAAAAAACAGAACCGTCATTACTAACCTCCCCTGTCTACAGAGCTGTAGGACGTTGTTGCTCTGCTTACACTTCCCCTGCTGTCCGTAATACTTTCCGATGCAATATTTTCCTCGTCCAATTCTTTCACTGGAGGTTCTTCAAGTGAATTATATGAATCATACATGTCCCATGCCGATGCCATTACACCTACCAAAAGACAGGACACAAAATAACAAAATCCACATAGGTATGCAGCAACATCAGTGGTACCTAACCTTAACACTAAGATGTGGGTTAACTACATTACCCATAAACATCAGCACAGAGACCATTTTTGTCACTTTTGCATGATATCTAAATTTATGACGAGAACTACTAGCTCACGGTTAGTAGTTTTGACCAAAGATGATTTAAAGATGGCTGCCCTCTTGGAGCAAAGGGCAATGCTGATATAAGGTATACACAGAGCCTATATTATATGCAAACTTTTATAATAAAAAATTATGACAACTTCCTTTAATTCTGATTGTTTCAAAACAGAGAAGGTTTTGAACCCCCAAAAAAAAAACCCTGCAATATCTATAGAAATATATATATATATATGTGAATATACTGTATATTTGATTCAAACGGCAAACCTGCATCCTCCAAGACAATCTGTTCGCACTGAACCTCTTTACTCTTCGGAGCGTCATTAATTGTCTGCACCATTCTTTGAACGTATCGATCATTTCCGACTCTGTTTTTACAAAGCTCTTTATAGGTTTGGTTTCGTAACCTTGAAATATAAATCAACAATTTAAATCAACTCTGCAGCTGGAAATTCACTTTTTATAAGGTTCTGTACATTTGCCATGACAACAAACGACCTTTCGAAAAAGATGTATTGAAAAACCATAGGTTGTGAATAAAGAGCTGATCTAGGCATAGTTTTACAGTTGAGTAATTGGCTGGAAGCTTCCCCTGGGTTCCATGGTGGCAGCTACAGATACTTAGCACTTTTGCATACAGTTAAAAACTTATAGAACTTTGCCCCTGGACTGCTTTATAGATATTACTCACAGTAACCTAGATTTTGAGAGCACATGAAATCCATCTGGCCCATCTAGGCAGTCTATTTTATCTAAAATTAGCAGTTTTATCTTTGATTATATTTATGCCCTGGAACTTTCCAGTCAAATTAGTCTTACTACCTCTGCAGAATCTAACCTCATGATAAACATACAGTTTCAGATGATAAACATACAGTTTCAGATTATGTGTTTTGCTGGGGATCGTGAGTGATAAAGCAGAAAGTTAACTCACAAGTTTCTTTTTCAATTTATTATGTATATTTTCAAATTACAAAAAAACTATCAACAAAGACAAGGGAAACATGTCAGGAAAGTTTCATACAAAAAAACACTCAATATAGTTAAAATAAACAGAGAACCGGAGGGGGACAATAGTGTCCTACAGTATGTGAAGTGTGAGGTTGGACAGATTGCAGGCCCGGATGCTGGGGGGTACAAGGGATGGGAGAGGTTGCAATAGAGAAGTGATCTAGGCTGGATAATTAAAATGAAATAAAGATGACATAGGAATTTAAAACCCACGTGTGATTTCCATCAAACAAACGGTTAAACATTCATACCTGACACTTTCAGCCTCCTCTGAATCCGTAGCCACAAGCATGGGCGGCATGTCAAAAAGCCAGATTGTGTCCGTCTCCGTGAGCTCTATGTCTACCATTTTATTTAGTTCCTCTTCACCCAGCTGCTCTGGAACCTCCACCTGCTTAACAGGAGCATCTAAAAAAAGACGACAAAAATGCGTTATTTTAAGACATAAAACCGAGCTGCAGATGTTCTGCAATTCTCAGGTGAGGGCATTCTTTGTGCAAATGAACCCTGCAAATGCAAGAGATCCTTGGGGAATCCTAATTACTGGCAACAGCCTGATATGCAGTGCTTAGAGGAGGATCACTGGCAGCGGCCTGATATGCAGTGCTTAGAGGAGGATCACTGGCAGCAGCCTGATATGCAGTGCTTAGAGGAGGATCACTGGCAACAGCCTGATATGCAGTGCTTAGAGGAGGATCACTGGCAACAGCCTGATATGCAGTGCTTAGAGGAGGATCACTGGCAGCGGCCTGATATGCAGTGCTTGGAGGAGGATCACTGGCAGCAGACTGATATGCAGTGCTTAGAGGAGGATCACTGGCAGCAGCCTGATATGCAGTGCTTAGAGGAAGATCGCTGGCAGCAGGCTGATATGCAGTGCTTAGAGGAGGATCACTGGCAGCAGCCTGATATGCAGTGCTTAGAGCAGGATCACAAGCAGCAGCCTGATATGCAGTGCTTAGAGGAGGATCACTGGCAGCAGCCTTGATATGCAGTGCTTAGAGGAGGATCACTGGCAGCAGCCTGATATGCAGTGCTTAGAGGAGGATCACTGGCAGCAGCCTGATATGCAGTGCTTAGAGGAGGATCACTGGCAGCAGCCTGATATGCAGTGCTTAGAGGAGGATCACTGGCAGCAGCCTGATATGCAGCTTAGAGGAGGATCACTGGCAGCAGCCTGATACGCAGTGCTTTGAGGAGGATCACTGGCAGCAGCCTGATATGCAGTGCTTAGAGGAGGATCACTGGCAGCAGCCTGATATGCAGTGCTTAGAGGAGGATCACTGGCAGCAGCCTGACATGCAGTGCTTAGAGAAGGATCACTGGCAGCAGCCTGATATGCAGTGCTTAGAGCAGGATCACTGGCAGCAGATTGATATGCAGTGCTTAGAGGAGGATCACTGGCAGCAGCCTAATATGCAGTGCTTAGAGGAGGATCACTGGCAGCAGCCTGATATGCAGTGCTAGAGGAGGATCACTGGCAGCAGGCTGATATGCAGTGCTTAGAGGAGACAGCCGCCTGATATGCAGTGTTTAGAGCAGGATCACTGACAGCAGCCTGATATGCAGTGCTTAGAGGAGGATCACTGGCAGCAGCCTGATATGCAGTGCTTAGAGCAGGATCCCTGACAGCCGCCTGATATGCAGTGTTTAGAGCAGGATCACTGACAGCAGCCTGATATGCAGTGCTTAGAGGAGGATCACTGGCAGCAGCCTGATATGCAGTGCTTAGAGCAGGATCCCTGACAGCCGCCTGATATGCAGTGTTTAGAGCAGGATCACTGACAGCAGCCTGATATGCAGTGCTTAGAGGAGGATCACTGGCAGCAGCCTGATATGCAGTGCTTAGAGCAGGATCCCTGACAGCCGCCTGATATGCAGTGTTTAGAGCAGGATCACTGACAGCAGCCTGATATGCAGTGCTTAGAGGGAGTGCACTGGCCTGACTGGCATCTCACCGTGAGTTTGGGGGGAGGAAATAATGATATTGGGGAAGAGGTGCTAAGGAGACAGAAGCAGTACATTTCCGTCTCCCAACTCCCCCGCTGTTATATCACTATTGGGAGAGAAGTTGATATAAAAGCACCCACTTGCTTGTAACTCCCACCAATCTCTGGCAGATTCACAAATGTCTCAGCGCTAAGATTAAACCCTAATAGCAACTTTAACCCAAGTTCTAACTGGAAAAATAAATAAATAAAAATCTTTCCCATACAATACAATGTTCCACTTTTTTTTTTCTATACAATGTTTTCACATCATATACTGCGCAGTAGGTAATGGTTGGATGGACATCACACAGTGAGGGGTTCTAATCTAGAGCAAGGATGTGACATGTATGTCATGGCCTGCATGAGATTAGTGGCAGTTAAACTCACAGGAAGCAGCTAGGGATATTTTGGTTCAGATAATGATATGTTTAGAGAGTAGTCAAGGACTCAACCTGAGGTTTAGGCCAGGTGATCTGAGAATAAACCGTAGGTAGACCATCCAATGCATAATGGGCTCTTACTAACATCGCTGCAGGGTTTATTCTGGTCCAGCCAATTACAACACCATCTTGTGGCAACACCATCTCATTACGCCCTTGTCCACATCTCACAACAGGTCAATTATATGATGATTTATATGATATCTTGTTCTGTATTTATGAAGTCCTCTCCAATTTTCCAAAATTTCCACAACGCGTTTCTCCCCTTAGGGCTTTCTCAAGTGGATAAAAAAAAAAAAAACTTTTATCCACTTGAGAAAGCCCTAAGGGGAGAAACACGTTGTGGAAATTTTCACTAACTGTATTTTAATAAAGGTATTTTGGCCACTTTCTTTGTTGTGAGTTAGCCATTTTATCTTTTCTACCACATTTATAATTTTTCTGCCTGGCATCTGAGCTAGTTTTTAGCTCTCAAAAAACTGAGTAGGACCATATAGACCTTTTTTATTGGCTGCTACCTATTTGGGTTTTATTGCACTATTATATTTTCTTTTCTCTTTCATACAGATCCCACGAACCCCCTGATCCCACTACTCCATAGACGTCTCTACCTCAGATAGAACTGTGATTTTTCTCTCCTCCCAAGGTTTTACTGGACTCTTTTTGGACTGTACTATATATTTATATACACCCTTATTTTTTTTATATTTCTCTCTCAGGATTATACATCATTGTTTTTTTCTATTTCTATTACTACTTGCTTATATTTAATTGTACATATTATCTCTGTGGCGCCATCTTTTTCAACTTCCTTATACCTATAGGAAAAACAAGTAAATAGTGTGTAGGCGCTTCGTAAATATAATAAAAAATAAATATAAAGTAGTGGTAGATATAAAAATGTGTTTCCCAAACACTAATAAAAGGTAAATGATAACTACAAAATATATATCAAAACCACAAAAAAAGAAAAAACAAAAGTGAAGTAGTGATAAAAATAAATAAATAAATATATACAAACATACAACCCGAACTTTGCAAGGTAGTAAGGTGGAATCTAGAAATACAAAATATAATACAACATAGTGTAATCTGTGACAAGATAATATGAAATAGAACGAGTCAGACTATCACTCACATTCGGCCTGGTACGGCTCTGCCGAATGTGAGTGATAGTCTGACTCGTTCTATTTCATATTATCTTGTCACAGATTACACTATGTTGTATTATATTTTGTATTTCTAGATTCCACCTTACTACCTTGCAAAGTTCGGGTTGTATGTTTGTATATATTTATTATTATTTTTTTTTATCACTACTTCACTTTTGGTTTTTCTTATACCTATAGGGCCTTATACCTAAAGATTTAATAATCTTTTCATACTTCTAGACGTATGGAACAGCTGGGGTGGTTAGCTGTAACATATTGGTGATTAAATAATACTAGGGTAGCTACACAGTTAGCGAATAGGTAAGGCAGATGAGATTCAGTTTATTATACGGTGTGTTGAGTGAGAATGTAAAGTAAATTTTAAATATTAGTCAGCTATGCTATATAACAACAGGTATAGGCAACCTTTGGCACTCAAGATGTTTTGGACTACACCTCCCATGGTGCTTTGCCAGCATTATGGGTGTAAGAGCATTATGGGGGATGTAGTCCACAACATCTGGAGTGCCAAAGGTTGCATATTCCTGCTATATAACCATGCACATCTTTAATCAATAAACAGAGATAGCCTACCGGGGACGTGGCGGCGGTAAACATGATCGTCGAAATCCTCATGCTGAGGCTCTGCCTCCCGGCCTGATTTTGAAAGGTTGCCGTCTCCATAGATGGACCTTTAAAAGAAACATATTGTTATGATAAATTAAAGGCAAGTCACCTGCATCAAGGCAAAATGTCGGCCCTAAATGTCGTGATGATGGTGGGTATCAGACGCACTTTAAACAATCAGGTGTCTAATAGGAATAAGACGCTTACAACGTACCCTGAGAATGGCCCAATAAAACTCGTGTTAATCACAGTTTGCTGCATGGAGATGGAAGTGAAGATATCGGAGGTCACTATTCCAGACGCATCTTGGGGTGTGAAGTGCTTATGGTGTTTGAAAGCCAACGATCCGGGTTCTGGCTGAAAGAGGGGACGCGGGGTAACATTGTTTCCGTCGTTATCATAAACCTGTGGAAAATGTCACAGAAGCCACATTAGTGCATTTACTGGCCCAAATGTAAAGGCCCCTTCAGAGTTACTGTTAAAAAGGAGATTACCAATGGAAAAGTGCAACTTTTAGGGCAAAATAAGCAAGCGAGAAAAAATTGCTGAATTTGACAATTTTTACAACTCTGATATTTTGGCGAAAAACTTATCTTTAGACAGGAAAGACGTACATACACGAACATTAATGAACATTTAAATTAATCCATGATATTAAGGAATCTGATGGCGTTATATAAATAATAATACCGTACATCAAGGAAAGTCAATTCAATTCAAATTGCAGCCCTTTCAAATGTTAGAAATGGGTGATACTCCTGTTACCAATTTACTAATTTATAGGAATGTTAAAAATACATGTTTAAAGGTGAAAAGCTGCCAAATATATTATGAAATGTTACTGATTTTTTTCTTTTTAATTTGTATGCAGATTGAATGTCTATATTGTATTGAAGGACTAGGCAGCTTCTAGTCATATTTTAATTTATCTATATTTACACAGCCCCTTCCTATTTACTTTGTGTGCTCACTATCATTTTGGGCAGTTTTCTGAGTATTTTGGGTGTATTGCCACTTTTTTAATATGGTAATTTAAAGCAGCATTCTCACTTTGCAGGTTTTGGTTTTAAATGAATCCCTCAATTCTATTTCATCTTGTTTTTATTTTATTTTTTATTTTAAATTCACCTTAGTTTTTTTTATTTTAGTTATACATAAAGGAAGATAAGGACTACTTTTTCTTAGAGTGAGCGTGATCTTTTTGGCAAAATCTTAGTCAGTGGGCGGGGCTTAAGCAAAGTTCCATTTCAGTTGCAAATTTAACCACAATCCATCAGTCCAAAAAAAAAGTGGGCGAGGCTTAAGCAAAGTTCCATTTCAGTTGCAAATTTACCCACCATCCATCAGTCCAAAAAAAAAAATCACCCAGAAGGACAAGCTGCAGACATCTTGGACATGGACAAACAAAATGGAGGCACCTAGCTATAGAGGACTGGCTCAAGAAAAGAGAACGGTAAATAAATATAAATAAAGGCAATCAATAAGATACAAGGGTAAAAGGAAAGGAAAACTAAAAGGAAATAAAACATGACAGAATTGCTTTACCTAAATATAAATAAGGGCTCAAAATTTACTCTGGCCACTGGTGAGTGGAAATTCAGCACTGGGAGTGAGCTGTGGGCCATGTACTGGCTGTGAGGGTTTTTGAAAGTAGCAACCTCTTGTAAAAATGGCTGTATGTGGACATTAGGAGTGGTGTTAAAGGGACACTATATTCAACAAAACAACTTTAGCTTAATGAAGCAGTTTTAGTGCATAGGGTTTCACTGCTCAATTCACTGCCATTTAGGAGTTAAATCACTTTGTTTATGCAGCCCTAGTCACACCTCCCCCTGCAAGTGACTTGCACAGACAGCCTTCCTAAACACTTCCTGTAAAGAGTCATCTAACTTGCCCGGAATGTAGGAGGAAGTGAGACGCACACTTCCTCCCAGCTGTAACACACCAAGCCGTGTGGGAGGGGGCCGCGAATGGGGCACGGCAGACCGTAAGCGGAGATAGCCCTAAACTTCCAACAGTCCCAGCAAGCAGGAGCCACCCAAAAGGTATGTATATGTGTTTTTTGAGTGTCAGTATGTATGTAGTGTTTGTATCTGTGTCACTGTATCTGTATGTGTCAGTGTATCTGTATGTCTGTGTATCTATCTGTAGGTCTTTGTATCTGTGTGTGTATCTGTATGTCTGTGTATCTATCTGTAGGTCTTTGTATCTGTGTGTCAGTGTGTGTCAATGTATGTATCTGTATCCGTGTGAGTGTGTGTTCTGTGTTTGTGTTTATCTGTGTGTGTGTGTGTGTGTCTGTAGGTCTTTGTATCTGTGTTTGTGTCAGTGTATGTCTGTGTATCTGTGTGTGTCAGTGTATCTGAATGTGTGTGTGTGTGTGTGTGTGTATCTGTTTATCTATGTTTGTGTATCTGTAGGTCTTTGTATCTGTGTTTGTGTCAGTGAATGTCTGTGTATGTATCTTTGTTTGTGTCAGTGCATCTGTGTGTGTCAGTGTATCTGAATGTGTGTGTATCTGTTCATCTAGGTTTGTATATCTGTAGGTCTTTGTATCTGTGTGTGTATCTGTGTTTGTGTCAATGTGTGTATCTGTATGTCTGTGCATATGTATCAGTCTGTGTATCTGTATGCCTGTGTGTCAGTGTGTGTATCTTTAGGTCTGTGTATCTGTGTCTATGTCATTGTATGCATCTGTATGTCTGTATATCTGTGTGTGTCAGTGTTTGTATCTATGTCTCTGTATCTGTCAGGGCCGGTCTGTCCATAGGTCCCAGTGGCATCATGGCTCCAGATGGCACTTTGACAGGGGCGGTATTTTGCCACCCTGTCAAGGTGCCAAAAAAGCCCAGTTTTCCCAGATCAGCTGGAGAGGGAGGCTGATCTGGGGCTGGTTGGGTCCTCAGGGTTGTGACATGTTTCCCAATGAAGTTCCGGCACTCTGAGATTACTAGTTCTGCGTGCCGGAGGTTCAGTGGGAAATTTACTTACTTACTGGGAGCGGCAGAATTCCAACCACATGGCCAGCACAGGCGGCGGGACATGCAGGAGTCAGACTGAGCCAGCAATGGTAAAGACAAGAGGAGCGAAGCTGCAAGAAGTCAATTCAGATTCCACTTAAGCTAGGATACACTGCACCCAGATACTGAAAGGGTAAGTAATTAGCTTCAATGCAGACAGTGTGCTGCACATAGGATTTCCAATCCCAACACACACAGACACACTACATCCCCAGCACACAACCCATCTCCAGCACGCAAACCACATCCCTAGCACACACACTACATCCCCAGCATACACACACACAGACACGCTACACGCTACATCCCTAGCACATACAAAGACACGCTACATCCCAAGCAGATACACTACATCCCTAGCACACACGGACATACTACATCCGAAGCACACAGAATACATCCCCAGCACACATACATAGACACACTACATCCCCAGCACACACAGATACACTACATCCCCAGCATGTACACTACATCTCCAGACTAATGAATGGCATACATGACAAATTAACTGGCACTATAGGGTCTTTAGGTCCCCCCCACCCTCAGAGTCCCACTCTCGCCGGGCTAAAGGGGTAGGAAGGGGTTAATCACTTACATTCCTCCAGCCTGGGCTCCCTCGCATTTCTCAATGCTTTTATATGGACGTCAGCGTCTTCTCATTGTGATTTTCACAGTGAGAAGTACGGAAGCGCCTCTAGTGGATGTCAATGAGACAGCCACTAGAGGCTGGATTAACCCTAATGTAAACATAGCAGTTTCTCTGAAACTGCTATGTTTACAGCTGCAGGGTTAACCCTAGAAGAACCTGGCACCCAGACCACTTCATTGAGTTGAAGTGGTCTGGGTGCCTATAGTGGTCCTTTAACGTACTCCTCTTTGGTTTGTTATTGTTAGTGATTGACACATATTGTACTTAGCTAATATTTTAATACCACTGCAGAAGCATATGTGTTGTGACGTTTAATTTAGTGAGCATTGATCTAAATATGTTACTGGAATGTATTTATCTAATCATGATATATTTCATTTTGGTTTTAATTATCATAATACAACATAATGAATGTGGACAAAATGTATTGGGCCGGCATGGTATCTGTGAGTCTGTATCTGTATGTGTGTCTGTATATGTTTCAGTATGTGTATTCTTGTTATGCTACTTGGGTTATTTGGATTGGAACTCAACTGCAGCTTGTAGAACTCCTTAATTACAATAGTAAAGAAACGAAGAATCTTTAAAGTATCAATACTGTAGCTTTAAGAAAAGAGAGGATTGCTGGCAATTTGAGAATCAAACGAAGTTTTAATGATTGATAAACTTAAATTAATTGCATATAGGCAATAATCCAATAAGAAGAAAGTGCAGGTTATCAAACAATACAAAGTTCATTAATAAGTATTTTCTCACAGAAGTTTTTAATAAGATTCTTTAGGTTACTGGGAATAATCTTCAATAGAAACATTAAGCAGGTAGCAGAGAGTATTTGCAAAGCAAGAAACAGTTCATAGTAAATAAGCATGATGGGAGTTGTCCTCCATATAATTAGTAACTTGAAGCAGAGAAGATTTAAGCAAGCAGGAATTGGTTCCAAGAAACAGTTCATAGTAAATAAGCATGATGGGAGTTGTCCTCCATATAATTAATAACTTGAAGCAGACAATAGTTGAAAGATATACTTAAGGTGAGTTGTCCTCCAAGAGTTCAGAGTTATAGTCCACTTGTAAATTAACAAATATCCGTTCTCCAGTAATCCTTTATGGCATGCAGCAATCCTTACATTGGCTCAAAGGCAGGGACAGCTTGTCAGAGCTTGTGGAGCCGGCGTGTATACCCGGAAGTAGGTCCCACAATCACCAAGCGCCCTCTCGCTGGCGCGGTCTCCCTAAGTACTGTCAGAGCCGCGTCAGAAGGGGGCGGGTCCGGCTCCGCAATGCGGAAGTGCCGAACCCGGAAGAGATACCGCATGACAATTCTAGACTGTACACACACCCCATTACAGGTTGCTCCCCACACTGTTAAGCACACATACAGCTCCCCACACTTTTATCTACACACTCTGCTAGACACACTACAAGGGCCCTGTAGTTTTAACCCTGTGATGTAAATCGTGACCGTATCACAAAGAGAATAGGGAAACAGCTAGTACACAGAAAGTAAAAGAGAGACCAGGTTTATGTATACCTCACCTTAGAGTGGCCGGGTGTAAATTGTGCCAAAGGGCATCAAGCTGATGACAGACACTTGGGCTATTTTAGCCCAACAGTGCTATCAGTTTGTGATTTGCTTTACTGGTTATAGACTTTGGCTTGTATCTGTCACGATACTTACCTGTTAGACACTATCAAACCAATCCTTTCACGGGCCGTGTGGGCTGAATGCACCATTCAGCCACACGGCCTGTCTCCCCATAGACATGTGTAGGCGAATGTGAAGATACTCACCCATTCGACATTGTCGAAGTGCTCCTCCGCTCAGTTCGTGCAGGCAGAATGCACCGCACGGCTGCGCACTTTTTATTTCCCATAGAAATTTAGACGCGACCCACTTGAATGGTCCGTTTTTATAAATAATGGATTTTTGAAATGTCACATCCGGTCTTAAAGAGTCCACGTCACATAGATGACCACCATATTGTATTTTCCGGAGTTGCAGATATGGCGTGGATCAATCAGTAGTGAAGTAGGTCTATATAATTGCTTGTTTAGACCCTTATTCAGAGCCCTATTGTGGTTTCTACCAAGGTACCCATATAGTGCTTCCAATTAGTCTCTTTTGTATTTCTGATTTTGACCTTGACTTGTTTTTTGACTTTGTGCACTTTTGGAATCTGACCTGGCTTGCTTATTCGTATATCCGTATTTCTATAATGCGGACTATGCCTATATCTCACTTTGTCTCTAACTATATAGAACGTGAACTCCATTCTAAGGCCTGGTAATACGTTTGTTCTTGACCCCTCCATTTGTGGGTTTCACATATCCTGTAAGTTAGGGTATTCACCCTGTGACAGTATCTTGACTATCCTGATTTTTTCCAATCCTGGACTTGGCTTGCTTACTTGTTCTGTGATTATGCTACATTACTTTGCCCTTATTTTGTTTTCTCAACAATTCTGTATCTATTTATTATGTTAAGCCTGGCCACCTCTAAGCACAAGTAATACATACTACTTCTTAAAACAAAAACACAACAAAATAAATCACCCTTATTTGCACAAGTGTTTGGTGACTTAAATAAAAATAAACTTAACTTAATGACGAATAGCTTCTCAGGGTAACCTTCCCAGCTGGTTACCACAATAGGAAGAAAATAGGGATACAGCTGTATAATGAGATATGAGCTTTAAGATTGCCTTAAAGGTACCTCCCCTGATGGAGATGGGTGGATGTTGACTTCCTCATGGTCACTGATGTTTCCAATTCAGGAACTGAGTGAAGTCAGGAATCCAGTAAGGTAAAAAAAATATATTTTTATTGTGCCAAGGAGACAAATGGTCTAAATAATATTATAACTATATCATCGAGCCCAGGTCCTACGCGTTTGCCATTTTGGAATGCAGAAGGATTTCCCCCTGTTTGTGGCACAAATGGAAATTATTTCAAACTGTTTAAAATGACTTTTACAGCAGCAGCACACCAATAACTCCCTAGCACTACTTTTACAGATGGAAAATAGCCGCTACTCACTAACACTAGCGAGAGGCATGGTAACAGGCAGGGCTGGTTGCTAGAAAGTAGCGACAAGTTTGTAAAGGACCCTTAGTAAATTACACCTCATTGTTTCATTTGAAAACTGACCTGAATAGCTTGCTTGCTGTTTACAAAAGAGTTTTTATCCATAATCTTGCTGTCAGCATTCAGACTGATGCTCTTCCTGCTGTACATGCCCATCATGCTACGGTTTAGAACACTGTAGTTCATTCTGCTTTGGGTCCCAAATCCAGATATGCTCTTGTTTCCACGCATTCCTCCTTTAAACGGCCTGCAGGCAAAATACTTAATATGTATAAATTGACATGAACAGGAAAATAACTGTAAAGGCCAACTTGTAAAGTAGAAGCTGTTGATAGTTAATACTATGTTCAATTTCATATCCTATTCCTGAATTGCCTATGATTTACAATATTGAATTTCCTACTAGATTTATTACATTTGTAAATGCTGTCTGTCATAAATATAGCATACATTTTGCTCACCCCAGGCGAGGAGCTGTGGGTGATGGGAGTTGGAGATGTAAATGAGTATGATGTGAAATAAGAGCACAAATCAGAGAGGATTCTGCCAGTGAGAATGATGAAGGTGGGTCATGTTGCAATGGGAACACTGTCAGGGTGTATAGTGTTAGTTTACTGGGAGATAAAGCACAATACCATTAGAGCATTGTGTCTGAGTAGTATGAGAGTTGGAGCACTAGCGGTGTCTGAGCATTATGAGAGTTGGATTACAAAGCAAGAAGAGCACTGTGTCTAAGCATTATGAGAGTTGGAGCACTAGCAGTTAGGGCACTGTGTCTGAGCAGGATGAGAGTTGGAGCACTAGCAGTTAGGACACGGTGTCTGAGCATGATGAGAGTTGGATTACAAAGCAGTTAGAGCACGGTGTCTGAGCATTATGAGAGTTGGAGCACTAGCAGTTAGAGCACGGTGTCTGAGCATTATGAGAGTTGGAGCACTAGCAAAATACTTATTGCAGCAGTTAGGACACTGTGTCTGAGTATGATGAGAGTTTGAGAACTAGCAGTTAGGACACTGTGTCTGAGTATGATGAGAGTTGGAGAACTAGCATTTAGGGCACGGTGTCTGAGTATGATGAGAGTTGGAGCACTAGCAGTTAGGGCACGGTGTCTGAGTATGATGAGAGTTGGAGCACTAGCAGTTAGGGCACGGTGTCTGAGTATGATGAGAGTTGGAGCACTAGCAGTTAGGGCACGGTGTCTGAGTATGATGAGAGTTGGAGCACAAGCAATTAAGGCGTGATGTCTCAGGATAATATGAGTAAGGGCACTGTCTGAGCATGATGAGAATTGGAGCGCAAAGCAGCAAGAGAACTATGCCTTAGCGTGATGGGAGTTGGAGCACTTACATTGTGCGTTTGGGGTGCGAAGCTTCGCCCTCTGGCTGGAATAGATACAACGTGTGTCAGGAGAGTCCTGGGTAAACTATTCCATGTATCTATGGTAACGGATAACCCCACCCCTTCCAACACAGCAGGTCCAGCCCCCGTACTGCTTCCTCATTGCCTGGTTTGCCGCCCACATTAATCCCCTCTCGGTCTGTTTTCCTATAACCTGAAACCACGCCCCTTACAAACCCCGCCTCCTCCGATTGGAGCAGACTCCGCCTTTCTGAACAGTGTCCTCCTGCTCTGTAATTGGTTGATTCGCCTGGCGTTCAGCTCAGCCGCTTCCGCCTCCATCCGGGCATTTCGCTGACCCGCGATGTGACCCGTCAGTTCGGCAAACATGGCGGAGGTAAGGAGGAAACTCACCTAACCCTTTCCTTCCGGGCATCACCATCTTCCGGGGTCCATCTATGTGAGCCCGGAGCCACCTCTCCCGCCCTGTAACCAGCCGGGCCCCCTGCTCACCCCGCCAAGGGCCCCTTCCCGCCCAACTCACTTGTTGCTCAGTCCCGCGCTCATAAACTTTCCGAAATCCTCCTTAACCAGCGCAGGCCCCCCCAGGAACCCGTCTGCACCAGCTATACTGAGCACTCCTATATACTGAGCACTCCTATATACTGAGCACTACTCTGCGCACTCACTGCCCCCTCACCCTCTCACCTCACTGCCCCCTCACCCTCACTGAGCGCACTCACTGCCTCCTCTCACTCACTGAGCGCACTCACTGCCCCCTCTCCCTCACTGAGCGCACTCACTGCCCCCTCGCACTCACTGAGCGCACTCACTGCCCCCTCGCACTCACTGCCCCCTCGCACTCACTGGCGCACTCACTGCCCCCCTCACTCACTGCTCGACTCCCTCGCACTCACTGCCCCCTCCCTCACTCGCACTCACTGCCCCCTCGCCTCACTGCCCCTCGCACTCACTGCACTCACTGCCCCCTCGCACCACTGCCCCTCGCCCTCTCCCTCACTGCGCACTCACTCCTCGCCCCCCTCGCCCTCTCCCTCACTGGGCCCTCGCACTCTGGCCTCACTGCCCCCTGCCTCTCTCTCACTGTCCCTCTCACACTGCCCTCACCCCCCCTCACTCACTGCCCCCCCTCTCACGCCCCTCACCCCCCTCACTCACTGCCCCCTCACCCTCTCCCTCACTGAGTGCACTCACTGCCTGCCCCTCACCTCACTCCTGCCTCACTCACCCTCACTCACTGCCCCTCACCCTCACTCACTGCCCCCTCACCCTCACTCACTGCCCCCTCACCCTCACTCACTGCCCCCTCACCCTCACTCACTGCCCCTTCACCCTCTCCCTCACTGCCCCCTTTCACTCGCCGAGCGCACTCACCGCCCCCTCACCCCCACTCACTGCCCCCTCACCCCCACTTTTTCATTCATTGAGCGAACTTACTATTCCTACCCTAGTTGTGAACAGGTTGAAGTCAGCTGTAGTCCAAGTGGATATTGATAGTTTTAGTACTGTGGATGAAGGGGCAGCAGTAGCAAAGCTACTACTTCAATTTTGTTTTTTGGGCACCATGTAATATAGCGATCTTACATTTTTGGTGTTGTAAACTTTACCTTTATTCATATTTTCCTGTATACACTTATGTTTTTGCATGTTTATCATCTAGATTTACAGGGGTTAGTGCAAGCATAGATAATATTTGTTTAGAAGTAATGCTAAATTTTGTTTATCTATTTATTGATATCTGTAATGCTCTTTAGAACTAGAACACAAATATATCAATCATTATTGGTGAGAATCATAATGATAGTGTTGTACAATCACCATTGACCTACCATAAGACGAATTTGCATCAAATTAAAGCTTATTTTCTCTTCTGATATCTTAATTTTGATTGAATTACAGTTTTAAAGCTAAACCTTTGCAACACTTGGCATTCTGTGATTGCAGCATTAATAGTAGCCATAGAATCCAAAACCAATATATAATTGTGGGCCATTTCACTAACAGCATTTTTGCACTTTTCATTTGACCATTTTACTATCAACTCGTTTTTCACAGACCATGAACCCATGCTTGTTTTTTTTTTTTTTTCTACTGTTATCAAGTACAATGATACTCCACATATATACATTTGCCAGGATTTTGAGAACTGTAGGATTAAAGGACCACTCTAGGCACCCAGACCACTTCAGCTTAATGAAGTGGTCTGGGTGCCAGGTCCTTCTAGGGTTAACCCATTTTTTCATAATTATAGCAGTTTCAGAGAAACTGCTATAATCATGAATGGGTTAAGCCTTCCCCCTAATCCTCTAGTGGCTGTCTCATTGACAGCCACTAGAGGCGCTTGCGTGCTTCTCACTGTGAAATCACAGTGAGAGCACGCCAGCGTCCATAGGAAAGCATTGTAAATGCTTTCCTATGAGACCGGCTGAATGCGCGCGCAGCTCTTGCCGCGCGTGCGCATTCAGCCGGCGGAGAGGAGGGTGGGGGCACCCTCAGGGCACTATAGTGCCAGGAAAACGAGTATGTTTTCCTGGCACTATAGTGGTCCTTTAAATAAGACACGTCCTTATTTTAACATGCCTCTTTGCTTGCTAACCTAGTATGGATGCGATGGTTGTTACACTATGTATGTCACATTACTGACTAGGGTGAAACATTGGTGCTATTTCTATCCCTATCCTTGATTCTACTTTAAAGGGATTTCCTCTGCTTATGTCATTATGTGCATCAGTAGAGGGATCTCTTAGCTTATGCAGAGTTATTCATTAAACACTGGATTTTGCCTGAACGGAGAAAATCCTGTGAAAATTACTGAATTCCACCTGCATTGGTAATTTAGTAAATTTACTAAAGGCAAATGCGGTTAGGATATAGAAACATTGATGTGATGGCAGTTAAGAACCATTCAGCCCATCTAGTGTGACCAATTCTATAACATTTGTTCAGGTGGGTTCCTGGGTGATCAATAATATCCATATCCGAACAAGTTGACTTCTCCAGAATTGAAGATTTCTCAACGACCACATAGTGACCGAAGATAAAGCGAATTAATCTACAAGGATGCATGTTTGAAGATTATCACTCACTTGCTTTGTGCAAGTGTTCATTTGAAGGACTATTTGCCCACTAGCAGCGTTCACAGCAAATATTTAAAAAAACAAACAAACATTGGTGCAAGGGTTAAGCATGTGGCTGCCCACTACTATCTATTGCTAGCCAGCCACCAAAACAAAAATCCTATGGGGGTGAATAAGGCCCTGACATTACTAGAATGGAGGTTGTAAAACTCTATGCCCCTCTGCAGGTGGGATCTTGTTTACTAAACATTAAAAACTACCCAGTTGCTAGAAAAGTCCCTGTCAAATAAGGGGGCAAAAAATCCAGAAACTGAAAAATTAAATTCTACTAACTATTAGAATTATTCTTTCTTCTCTTCTTCAGCCTCAAGAAAGGACAAATTAAAATCCACAATCTCCACTGAAACTAACTAAAATTAAAAATGTACGATTGCAGAAGAAGAAAAAAAACTTGCCAGAAATAATTAAAACTGTGCCACAATAAAAGCAAGTCATCTTCACATATAGATGGCTTGCCACAGAATGTGCACTCATACCAACAAAAGCACTTTTATAGACTTTCCCACATTGACAACTATTGCATAGTCTGGGAATAAATTTACCATGCTTTGCAAACTAAGACCATTCTGGTTGGCTAGTAAATCAACCAATCAGAGCTCTCTGACAGCCAAGTCTGGAGAGGAGGTGCACAGTGATCTTTATAAATATCATTCCATATTCCACAAACAAAACCTCCAGTTAGTTGCTTTTGTGATTAGATTTCTTTTAAAAGGAACACGCTAAAGCTGCCATAGAGAAGCATTGGGCACCTGTGATGTGTGAACATGTGTGATGTGCTCCGCCATTTGGATTCCCCCCCTCCCCATAGAGAAGCATTAAAGGAGCACTCTAGAGCAGTGTTTCCCAACCCAGTCCTCAAGGCACACCTACCAGTCCAGGATTTAGGGATTACCCAGTTGTGTCTTCTTGTGTTCTTCTTTGTAAAAACACCTTAGACACAACTGGGTAATCCCTACATCCTGGACTGGTAGGTATGCCTTGAGGACTGGGTTGGGAAACACTGCTCTAGAGTATATTTCTGACCCTATAGTGCTAAAACCACCATCTAGCCTCCCTGGAACACCATTTGACTCCATAAATATAGTAACATTTTACTTATATTCTAACCTGAAGCTGCTGGCTATGTCCCTCTCTGCATCAGACCTGCAAGCTGTCTGCTGACATCATCAGAAGTGTTGTTCTGAGCCAATTACAATGCTTCCCCATAGGATTGGCTGAAACTGTGAAGGAGGCAGATCAGGGGAAGAGCCAACACAAGTCAAAAACAGCCCTGGCCAATCGGCAGCTCCTCATAGAGATGCATTGAATCAATTAATCTCTATGAGGAAAGTTCAGTGTGTGCATGCTGAGGGTGGAGACACTGATATGTTGTAATGCATACTAGGTAAGACTGCTTAAGGAAGCACCTCTAGCAGCCATCTGAGTGGCCAGTGAAGTTATCACTAGGCTGTAATGTAAACACTGCATTTTCTTTGACAAGACAGTGTTTACAGCAAAAAGCCTGAAGGGAATTTGATCTACTCACCAGAACAAATGCAATAAGCTGTAGATGTTCTGGTGACTATAGTGTCCCTTTAAATCCAATGCTAAATCTTGCTTTGGGTGATGATTCTGACCATGGAGACCTTCATTTTTTGGTGATCTCTCGTCCCCGTCCGACGTCCACTCACTAGTGGAGCGGAATGGGCATGCGTGGCAAGTGCTGCGCGCGTTCAGAGTCCAAAGGAAAGCATTTCTTAATGCTTTCCTGTGGACGGTCTGTGCAATGGATGCGAAATTCAGATTTGCCTCTAGCGGCTGTCTGCACCAGGAGTCATCACCTTTACAGACCCTTATGTATTTGAACTCTTTATACAGAACTAAACAGTCTTCCACATATGGGCAGTCAAATAACAGGATTTTGTTCTGCATTCCTGTTTTCACGTTTTTGTTCTTGTTGTAGGGACCAATACACAGTAATAACGCAAAACAGTTTAACAATCCACAGAAGCTCATCTTGTTTCCTCTCCTCGTGTCCTGTTAACTGACAGCGGCTTAGCAATTTCAATATAAGTCTGTGGTCTTTGCAAAATCGCAAAGGATAAAATGTGCAGCAAAACTTTTCAGTGGCAAAATGGAATTTCCCATCTGGTGATTTTGTTGCTTTAGACTGGATAATTCCCACTCTTCTGCTTTTTAATCGTTATTTGTTAAAGGACCACTGTAGGCACCTATCTGCTCAATGAAGTGGTGTGGGTGCAAGGTCCCTCTAGGGTTAACTCTGCCTACTGTAAACATAGCAGTTTCAGAAAAACTGCTCTGTTTACATATGGGTTAATCCAGCCTCTAGTGGCTGTCTCAGATTTGTTACTGTTATAGAATATGCACTATAACTTCTATTATTTGCTTTTTTCCTATTAAGAAAAGTTAGAATTTACTTTTAATTTCCATTTCAGATTCTCAAACACTGAGCATTGCAGATAGGAAATGTCAGCTCAGTTTCAAATATTTCTCATGAAATGAAAGTCCTTCCGCTATCATTTTTGTCATTCTCAGAAGTTATATGCCTACTTTAAATATTCAAAAATAAAATTAAGGCCTGCACTCAAACTCCCACTACTACTGGGCGGCGGCAATGACTATAGTACAAATCAGCACCAATACAATTGCGCACTATTCCAAATACCAATCCACATTTAAAAGTGTAAGCTCACCTGCCACATCAAGGCAAAATCTTTTTAGATGAGTCCTACACTAACAATCCACCTTGCTGCCCTCAGCTTTAAGGTAAAATCTCTGAGACAGAGAGGGGTATTTTTCTACACACTTAATAACCCTTATTAGGAACAGATAGTGAGGGCAGCAGAATAGTAACATGGCTAGTGTAATACAATAGCTAATACTAGTGTACAAAAGGCAATTTTTCCCTGACAAATGTTAAAGGAACACTATAGTCACCTAAATTACTTTAGCTAAATAAAGCAGTTTTAGTGCATAGATCATTCCCCTGCAATTTCACTGCTCAATTCACTGTCATTTAGGAGTTAAATCACTTTGTTTCTGTTTATGCAGCCCTAGCCACACCTCCCCTGGCTATGATTGACAGAGCCTGCATGAAAAAAAAACTGGTTTCACTTTCAAACAGATGTAATTTACCTTAAATAATTGAATCTCAATCTCTAAATTGAACTTTAATCACATACAGGAGGCTCTTGCAGGTTCTAGCAAGCTATTAACATAGCAGGGGATAGGAAAATCTTAAAGGACCACTATAGTGCCAGGAAAACATACTCGTTTTCCTGGCACTATAGTGCCCTGAGGGTGCCCCCACCCTCAGGGACCCCCTCCCGCCTGGCTCTGGAAAGGGGTTAAAACTTACCTTTTTCCAGCGGGCAGCTCTCCGCTTTCGATCCTCCTCCTCTCCGCTCATTTGGCTGAATGAGCACGCGCGGCAAGAGTTGCGTGCGCATTCAGCCGGTCGCATAGGAAAGCATTTACAATGCTTTCCTATGGACGCTGGCATGCTCTCACTGTGATTTTCACAGTGAGAATCACGCAAGCGGTTGTCAATGAGACCGCCACTAGAGTCTTTGGGGGAAGGATTAACCCATTTATAAACATAGCAGTTTATAAAAAAAAATGGGTTAACCCTAGCTGGACCTGGCACCCAGACCACTTCATTAAGCTAAAGTGGTCTGGGTGCCTAGAGTGGTCCTTTAATTAAACAGAATTTGCAATAAAGAAAGCCTAAATAGGGCTCTCTTTACAGGAAGTGTTTATGGAGGCTGTGCAAGTCCCATGCAGGGAGGTCTGACTAGGGTTCATAAACAAAGGGATTTAACTCCTAAATAGCAGAGGATTGAGCAGTGAGGCTGCAGGGGCATGTTCTATACACCAAAACTGCTTCATTAAGCTAAAGTTGTTCAGGTGACTATAGTTTCCCTTTAATAGATTAATAGAAAAATACAAGTCATATATTCTGGGGAGAGTAAAAATTTCTGTACAACACAACTAGTAACTTTTTCGTTACAGTGTCCTTTATTGCAGTTGCTACAGAACAACCCTTTCTAATTAAGAAAACATTACCTTATTTAGGTAGAAGAAGGTATCTGTTTATTATCAAATAGATATTATTTGTTTTTAAAGAGAAGACTACAATTTTGCCCTTAGTTTAGAAAACCAATAGGGAAAATATAAGTCTCTCAGTCCCAAAAGGGAAATGTTATATTCACCCTGGGTTGAACCAGGTGTAGTCACTATTAAACGCATAATTGGATATAATACATAATATTGTTAGATATCACCATTACTTCTGTTTTGTAGCATATGTGTGGGTATTATGCTTTGTTAGCCAAACACTTTGTTTTTATTTCCTGGCTACAATACTACTGTGGGTTGTTGGTGAAGGAAGGAATTGGGACTTCCATTATCTATTTAATTATATCTAATTTCTATCCCTTTTGGATAACTGGTACATAAATCCAATGAATTTGTAAAGATGAATGCAAATTATGTGGGGGGAGAAAGGGCATGTTTTTATTTCATAGAAGATATTTGCTCCATTGGGCCTCAAAAGGACACTGGAACAGGAGATCAAGACTCCCAAAATATTACTGATATTGCTTCCATTTTTTAAAAAAATTTTTTTTAATGGAAACATAGTTTGTCTTCCCTGAGGTCTGGAAAAAAAATTAGTTTAACATTGGTCAGTCTATGAATTTGTTAATCATTAAACTTTTTAAGATATGTGAGTGTGCAGCGGGTTAAAGGGACACTACAGGTGCCATTAACTTAATACATCAGATTTTGTTTATAGCTCATACCTCTGCACCTTCACTGCTCAATTTTGTCATTTAGAAGTTAAATCACTCCAGAGTTAACGTTACAAAAAATATATATTCTACAGTATAATTTTAGAGTGGTTAAAAATTATTTGGGTATAACGGTAATCAGGGATACCAATAGATTAATCGAAGTTAATTTTATGAAAACTTTAAAAAAGACAAATCTGACAAAAAAAAATGGAGGAAAAATATTTGAAGTTGGTTGGGGAAAATAAATGTGATAAAAACGTATATCTTCCCACTACAGACATTAAATGATCTCATTAAAAATACCAGATAGCTGGTTAGATATAACCCAAGACCGCTTTCGCAATTTTGTCTGAAGGGGTAAGAAACCCTGCATTGGAATGGGGGGGTGTCTAAGCAATGGAACAAACAAGGGGCAGTGAATTTTTTATATATAGGACATTGCTATTAGGCTAACGCTGTATACCATCTACAGTTGTTGACCAAAGAAAAATGGAAAAGAGAGGGATGATTTAAAATAGAGGATTTTATGGATAAGGGGGACATTATCAGAGCTATATGGCAAGGAGAAAAACTATTTAAAAGAAAATAAGATTCATACACACATTTTCACAATATGGGCTGAAATAATGAATAAATTGAAGATAAAAACAATTTTGGTTTCACAGAGTTAGTTTAAAAATGAAGTGGAATAAAGGAAGTATAAACACTAGATCTCTCTTTACGGGAAGTGTTTTGGAGAGTTGTGTATGTCACATGCAGGGAGTTGTGACTAGAGTTGCATAGACAAAATTATTTAACTCCTAAATGGCAGAGTATTGAGCAGTGAGATTGCAGGAAAGGAATCAACAAAATATAGGTCTTTGGCCGATATATTCATCTGATATTCTGCATTTTGGCAATCATTGGTATCGGCTTTTAATGATACCAATATTGCCGATAAGGCGGGCAGGTGACTGAGACCCAGCGCAAGCCATCTTCAGCTCCTCTCTCCAATTCTTGCAAGCACCCAGCGGCATCAAAGCGTTGACACAGTTTACCATGGCGAAGCTCTGTGCAACATACCAGGCTTTCGAGAGTTGGAGAGAGGAGTTGCCTGAAACTGAACAATGCGTGAAAAGGGTCTCAGCCACCCCTAATTCAAAGTGAAACCCCCTGGCAGCCTGCACAAAGCCACTAGATCACCATGGAGTGTAATGGTGGTCACAAGTAAAAGACAGGGAGGGTGGAATAAAATTATTTTTTTTATTAAAATTATGCAATAATTATATAAAATTATTTTTTTTTTTTAAACTCCTTTTAGCCCACAGAATGGATTAGCCACAGAATCCTGCCACACACACACATTTAAGAAAACAATAAAATTTTTACTGGGATAAATAAAGATATATATATATATATATATATATATATATATATATATATATATATATATATATATATATATATATATATATATATATATATATATATAAAAAAATTTTAAATAAACATGTTCAGTTAATGGCAGATTTGAATAAAAATTGTTTCTTTTTAAAAAATGCAAAAGAACAAAATAGCGGTACCAATTATCAGCATTGGCTCTTTAAAAAATTGCGTTTGTCAATCCTACTGCAGGAGCATGATCTATACACCAAAGCTGCTGCATTATGCTAAAGTTGTTCTGATGCCTATAGTGTCCCTTTAAAGGGACACTATAGTCACCAAAACAACTTTAGCTTAATGAAGCAGTTTTGGTGTATAGATCATGCCCTTGCAGTCTTACTGCTCAATTATCTGCCATTTAGGAGTTAAATCATCTTGTTTCTGCAACCATAGTCACACCTCCCTGCATGTGACTTGTACAGTCTTCCCAAACACTTTTTGTAAAAAGTCATCTAATGTTTACACTTCCTTCATTGCAAATTCAGTTTAATTTAGTATTTATCTCCTGCTCTGTTAATAGCTTGCTAGACCCTGCAGGAGCCTACTGTGTGTCAATAAAGCTCAATATACAGAGCAGGAGATTACATTTTTTTTATTTTTGCATGCAAGCTGTGTCAGTTACAGCCAGGGGAGGTGTGGCTATGGCTGCATAAACAGAAACAAAAGTGATTTATCTCCTAAATGGCAGGGACATGTTCTATGCACAAAAACTGCTTCATTAAGCTAACATTGTTTTGGTGACTTTAGTGTCCCTTTAAGATATTCATTCATAATAAAATCTTGTGATTTAGTGAGGGAATTAATTTATTGCCTACTTAAAACATCTTGGAAAGGGAAGGCAAGCTAGAAATGTTTATAATTAAAAGCACCAGGAGCTGGGCAAATGGGAGAGAGATGGAGAATTCAAATTCCAAACATGTTCAAAACTTCACTAAACAGGGAATTGCAATCATTTTGGAAATTTGAATTTAGAAAATGTAAACTGCATTTCACGATTGGGTAAATAAACTCCATTTTCCAATACAGTAACTTTCTTCTGTTTTTCTACCATATGTTAAATGTAGAAAAGCTTGTTCTAGTTACTACAAGCATTTATTTATATTAAATAGAGAACATGTTTTTGATTTTGTCTTTGTAATGTCTAAAATATTGTTTTCTCTCTCGGCAGCCTTCGCTTGGGACTGCAAGCCCAGGTAACTTCCTTCCTTCATCTATCTTGGTTTATTTGTTTAATTTTATAATTGCATGTTTCCAGCACATAATGTGTAAAAGGAGAAACTACTATGAAACACATTTGGCTTACACAATGCAGAGAACCGACTGCCTGTTCTTTAAAAAAAAAAAAAAAAGAATGGCACAAAAATGACCCCCCATTTCAGGGTCTAAATCAGCTTTACAACTCTCTCCTGCTTTAGAAATACATATCATTATTTCAAAAGCTGGCATGTTCTTTTAAGCAGCAATTCCTTTATTTTTGTGTGGTATAATCTTCAAGAATTATTATTATTTATATAGCGCCAACAAATTCCGTAGCGCTGTACAATGGGTGGACTAACAGACACATAATTGAGATCAGACCACTGGAACAGAGGAGTTGAGGGCCCTGCTCGATGAGCTTACATGCTAGAGGGAGTGGGGTATAGTGACACAAAGGGTTAAAGTAGGGGAATTACATAGTTTGTTAGAGAAGGGTTTATTGAGTGCTTGGTAGGTCATTTTTGACAGTTGCAGGAAAGAAGTCATGGGGTGGTGAATGAGAAAGCTGCTGACAGTTTAATTGATACGCTTTAATGAAGAAGTGAGTTTTCAAAGATTTTTTGAAGGAGTGGAGGCTGGCTGAAAGTCTGATTGAGGAGGGAAGGGAGTTCCATGGAATAGGTGCAGCCCTGGAGAAGTCTTGAAGGCGAGCATCAGAGGTGGGGATCCGGGCAGATAATAGGCGTAGGTCTTGGGCTGAGCGCAGGGCTGTCGACGGGACATACTTGTGTATGAGGGAGGATAGGTATGTTGGAGCAGCATTATGTAGGGATTTGTAAGCAAGCGCCAGAATTTTGAATTGGGCCCTATATCTAACTGGAAGCCAATGCAGGGACTGACAGAGCGTGGAGGCTGACAGGAAAATAAGCCTTGCAGCCGCATTCATTATAGACTGCAGCGGTGCAAGCTGGGAACATGTAAGACCGTTGAGAAGGGGATTGCAGTAGTCAAGGCCAGAGAGAACAACAGCATGAACCAGTACCTTAGCCGTGTCCGACGTTAGATATGGGCGGATGGGCGCTATGTTCTTGAGTTGGAAGCGACCGGATTTAGCTATCGATTGGACATGGGGAGTAAAAGCGAGATCAGAATCTAAAAGAACCCCTAGGCAGCGAGCCTGCGAGGTAGAGGTGACAGTAGTGCCGTCGACTTGGATGAAGACAGACACAGGAGTAGCAGCACTTGAGGGAGGAAAAACTAGAAGTTCTGTTTTGGACAGGTTGAGTTTTTAAGGAAGTGAGCAGCCATCCAGTTGGAAATAGTAGAGAGGCAGTCAGAAACACGAGTCAAGGTGGGAGGAGAGAGATCAGGGGAGGACAGATAGATTTGCGTGTCATCTGCATATAAATGATATTGGAAGCCAAAGGAGCTGATGAGTTTACCAAGGGAGGCAGTATAGATAGAGGACAGAACCTTGGGGGACGCCGACAGAGAGGGGTTGGGGAGAAGAGGCAGAGCCAGAGAAAGAAACACTGAAAGAGCGCTGGGAGAGGTAGAAGGAGCACCAGGAGAGAGCAGTATCCCGTAGACCAAAGTTACGGAGAATGTGAAGAAGCTGTTGATGATCAACAGTGTCAAAGGCGGCAGAAAGATCTAGGAGGATTAGGATAGAGTATTGGCTGCGAGATTTAGCAGCAATTAAATTGTTGGATACTTTGGTCACAGCAGTTTCGACAGAGTGACCAGCGCGGAATCCAGACTGAAGGGGGTCAAGCTATATTACAAACTATACGCTGCTTTGTCAAGTGTAAATTGCTTATATGTGGATGGAATGTTCATCAGATCCATAGGCGTGCGCAGCCTATTGCATTAGGGTGTGCACCCTAAAGCACACACACACACACACACACGTGTGTGTGTGTGTATATATATATATATATATATTATAATATAATATAATTTTATACAATTTTTTAAACTAAACTTGACCAAAACTGAAATTCTTGTCTTTTCTCCCTCAAGTGTTGTTACTCCTGTCTGTCTCCCTCCAAGTCAACGGTGCTACCATCAGCTCCCCCACGCAGGCTTGCTGCCTAGGTGTTCTCTTTGACTCCGACCTCTCCTTCAAGCCTCATGTTCAATCTATCGCCAAATCCTGTTATTTCCATCTAAAAAACATTGAGCGCATCCGCCCCTACTTAACGTCAGATGCGACTAAGGTGTTGGTCCATTCCACTGTCCTTTTTCGCCTTGACTACTGTAATCCGCTTCTCAGAGGTCTTACGTGCTCCCAACTAGCGCCGTTACAGTCCATAATGAATGTGGCGGCAAGGCTCATCTTCCTGTCCCACCCGCACCTCCCATGCCTCACCCTTCTGTCAATCCCTACATTGGCTTCCTATAAAATATAGAGCTCAATTTAAAATTCTGGTTCTTGCTTTCAAATCGCTACATAATGCTGCTCCCACCTATCTATCCCTTATACACAAGTATGTCCGTCTAGGCCCTTACGTCTATCTTCTGTCAGTACTACTCCCACCTCTGATGCTCGCCTTCACGTTTTCTCGAGGGCTGCACCGTTCCTGTGGAACTCTCTTCCCTCCTCCGTTAGATGCTCACCTAGTCAACATTCCTTCAAAAAAATCGTTAAAAACCCACTTCTTTGTATCAATTAAACTGTTAATAGCTCCTGACTGATTCCTCTTCTGCAACTGTCACTAGTCTAATACTATCCTTACCTTTTTGTGTAATTTTACCCCACTCCCTCTAGCATGTAAGCTCATTGAGCAGGGCCCTCAACCCCTCTGTTCCTGTGTGTCCAACTTGTCTGGTTACAACTACATGTCTATTCGTCCACCCATTGTAAAGCGCTGCAGAATTTGACGGCGCCCTATAAATATAATAATAATATACACACACTGTTGTGTAAGGGTGCTGTTCGTGTGATGTGGGTGAGGGTGCTGTTAGTGTGCTGTTTGTGAAGATGCTGTTAGTGTGCTGTGTGTGTGCCAGGGTGCTGTTGGTGTGCTGTTAGTGTGCTGTGTGTTTGGAGGGATTGTGGAGGTTGGGGCAAATTAGTTCATATCCCCCCTCCCTTCTTACTTTATGTAGGGAGGGGGGATCCTTGCTGCCATGTGCCATCCCTGGTGGTCCAGTGGAGAGTGAACTCTAGCCTGCGGGGCAACGCCCATATCTCACAAGAGGAATCTGGCGGAGCTTCTGGCTAGAGCTCCCCGGGTCCTCTCCTGCCTCCCTCCATGCTGCTGTGGGCTGGTGAGGTAGCTCTTTAATCTCACCACCGGCCCATGGAGGCTTAGAGCAGAGCCGGCGCTGGGATAGCGCCGGCTCTGCATGAGCCGACAGGGGAAATCCTGAGATCTCCCCTGCCGGTCTCAATCCATAGGTGTGCCGCGGGGATTACGGTGTGCCCAGGCACAACTTGCACACCCTGTGCGCACGCCTATGATCAGATCTCTTTACTAATTCATGAATTGTGTAAATCTGGCCAGGGAATTTTAATCTTTTAGGCCAAGATAGGTAAACTAGCATTGTCTGCATTTTGCCTAAAATTAGCAATTCCTTGTAAATTCATTGTTTAGTGAAAACACACTTGGGTTTTAAAGGCCATACACTGCATTGCATGTCTTTGGAGTTGAACTGTTGCCAATTGGAAGTCAACCTGTCATATTTATTTATGTTTGTCTAATTCAGGAGGCTCGGCTACATCAGATGACCACGAGTTTGATCCATCAGCTGATATGTTGGTTCATGAATTTGATGACGAAAGAACTTTGGAGGAGGAAGAGTTGATGGAGGGGGAAGTTAATTTTACAACTGAAATTGAACACCTTGAAAGGGTAAATAACAGCAAGAATATCATAAACGTGCATTTTTATTGATGCTCATTTGTGAGTTTGTACTTCACCAAATTTTATAGCTTGAATTTATGTATGTAAAAAGTGTCATGGGTGCGGTTTAAGGAAGTTATGCTTTTTATGCATTTCATGTGACCAAAGTCCATCTCTCAAAAAATTTATTAAACGAAGAATTGACTGACTAGCACACATTGTCAGGGTTATTCACTGAACTCCAAATTGTAGCAAAATGAAATCCGAGTGGTAAAATGTAGGCTTAAATTTGAATGTTGGGTGAGTAATGCTATTAGTGTTGTTGTTTGTTTTTGTTTTTGGGCTATTCAGCTCTTTGAAGCCTAGTTAAACTAATTGTGAAGGTGAAAAGAAATTTGTGCTTTTAAAACGTAATTTCCACAGAAGAGTTTTCTTCCCGTCTTAAAGGCAAACCATTTACAAGCTGATTGACAACTGGGGTCCCAAATTCCCTCTCTTGCCTGGTTCCTGCTTTGTCTTATGCAATGTTAATTTCGTTGACTAACAATTAGTCATAGTTTTCGGCAAAATCATGTTTCAGTCCCGAAAACAAGACTGAAAATTAATGATATTTTAGTCAAGAGTAAAACTAAATTAACATTTGAAGCAAAAATTAAGATTTTTTTATTTATTTTTATCAGGTGGGAATGCAAATGTAAAATAGTTATTAAAAAAGATTAAAAAAAACCTGTGTAATGGCATTTTACAGCCACTAAATATTTCCTGAATATAGACCCCATCCCCCCACAAAAAAAAACCAAACAAACTGTTCTCTGTTAAAGGACATACATCCCTTGTTGGACACAAGATAAACTTTCTCAGTGACACTGATCTTGTGGCTAATGCACAAGTTATAAACTGAACCATAACCTAGACAATGTGCACAAGATCTACTTATCGGTGAGCATTCCATTAGAGCAGTTTAGACTGCTGATTTAACAATCTTTTTGTACTTGAATGTTTTTCTTGAGTTAAAAATTTAGGCTGGCTGTTACTAAACTAAGATCCCTAACTACCCTTAGATGTATACCACCAGCCAGGCCTTATATTGTTCCAGAAGGTCTTGTCTTGCTTTGTGAAACGCCTTTAATAGACACTTATATTTCTTGGCAGACATCGTTTAAACCATATTGGTTTTAATATGCCGTTTTTTGTTTTCTAGGGCGTATATGTTAAGTGTTTTTTTTTCTTTCATACCAAGGGTCACTATAACCACTGCATAAATACTGCTGTAATTGTTATGATGCCAGCATGCTCTTGTTGCTGCCTTCCCATTCATAGAATAGCTCTCAAATACAGACAATTCCAAATGCTAATACAGAAGTGTAACTTTCACATTGTGTCATATCTTTCGAGAATGATTTGAAACATACTCAGGACCCCTTTAGAACCATGTTGCACATACTTCTTTCTTTAGAGACTTTCATATTTTGAATTTTGCCTGGCTACATTTTTGTGATTTAATAATAATCTTGCTTTGCTATAGTTTTGAGTTTTGGTTTTTCTTTTCAATGTTCTCAGGAAAGCGAAATGCCAATCCATGAACTATTACGATTGTATGGCTATGGTAGTACTGTCCCTCTGCCAGGAGAAGAGGAAGATGATGATGACGACGACGAAGAGGAGGAGGAGGAAGAAGAAGAAGAAGAAGAAGAGGAGGAGGAGGAAGAGGAGGAGAATGACCGGAACAGTGCCTGCAGTGTGGAAAACAAGGTACCAGTTGCTGCTGCTCCTTACTGGTTCTCATTTCTTTTTATACAGCCTATTTAAATTACATTTAGATAACACTCAATACACATGTAAGATTATCAAAAATGGCTGGCTGAAAATCTTCCTTAGTTCATTGCGTATCGAAATTGTTAGATTAATAGCAATATCAAATTAACTTGTTTATGAAAATATAAATTCACTTACTATTAATGTTAATCTGATAACTGCCAATTTTGGATTCCGTGCCGTTGTAAAAAAATAAACTTAAAGGGACACTCCTAAAGCACTTTCACTTTGAATAAATTTACAATTTTAAAAATTAACCTTGGGGGGGGGGGGGGCCACAAACTTGGCAATTGCCTGCTTCTTGACTTTAGCTCCACTGAGCTAAACAAACCAGGAAGTAACAGGATGTGTTGTCTGCTTGAAAGCCAGGAGGTGTAACAAGGTTAATTTATAAAATTGTAAATTTTTGTAAAATGGGGGTGAGAATGACTGTCTTCCCAGAAAGCACTTCAGCAAGCAAAAGTACTGCAGGTTTCCAGAATGTCCATTTTTAAGGATTTTTATTTTCCATATGCTGCTTATTTTTCCTTTACATGCATATTCAAGATTAAGACGTTAACCTCCTGATTCAGTTCAGTCTTAACACAGCCTTCTTGTTGTATTAGCAGGATATAACTGGCGTATTAAAATGAGATTGACTTGTTAGTCTTAGGCTGAGAGTGGTTTTTAGTATAGTTTTTTACCTGCTCCATATCTCATTTTCTATTTCAGGAGAAGTCTGTCACCTCTGTAGAATGAAGTAAGGCAGATGCAGGAGATTGCTATTTGGTTGAGGTTGCTTAGCTGTCACTCAGCCAATGAGCAAAGTCCTGCATGGCCTGCTTTGCTCTATAAAGCAATCCAGATTATCTTGCAGGAAAGACTGAATTCAGCTGTTTGACCCAGGAAATTTGTCAAACTATACTGAAGCAGTTTTACTTGCTGTGAGATAGCACCATGACTAAAGCAGACTGTAGAGCAGGCTTCCCAAAACTCTGGCCCTCCAGATGTTGCTGAACTACAACTCCCATGATTCTATGAATGCAATAGGCTGAGAATCATGGGAGTTGTAGTACAGCAACATCTGGAGGGCCGGAGTTTGGGGAAGCCTGCTGTAGAGTTTATGGTGCTTGGAGTGTTTGGGTGCCTGATGTGTGATCAATGCATTGGAATATATATTTTTAAATATTCTGATAGCGAAGAAATACAATATTATAAATGGCCAACACATTTCCTGACCATTTGGCATTCTTGATTCTCTTGATTCCCTCCACTATGTCCTGTCAAATAGTGGCTGCAACGCCGGCATCAGATCATTTAAGTGCTGGTATTGTGTTGGTGTCCCTGATTATGGCTGGTTCACAATGATTGAGTACTTAAAGGGTTTACATTTTGTTAGAGCATGTACCATATTGGTGTATTCTCTTTTAGGATGAGATCATTAAAGATTCCTCTGGACCGGAAGATGAGACTCAATCATGTAACGATGACACAGTGCCGTCTGCTACATGTCGGGATGTACAAGAGGCAATGAGGCCACGGAGGTGCAAGTATTTTGATGCAAGTATGTTGCTGGTTTTCATTAAATGTCTTTATTTGTCTGCTTGTCTAAACTCTTAAATAAGATGGGGATTATTAAAGCAATGATCAATTTTTTCCTCCGTCTTAATAAAGCAAAAAAGCAATCTTGATTGTCGGTGTATATGCAAATCTTGTCAGCCTTAGATAATGTTGTACAAGATATTATCATACAGGGCAGTATTCATTTTATTTTCACTGTATGTTTTCTGTTTACTCTACAAATGTGCAATATATTCACCCTGCCAGTGTGTGTAAGCTAGAAATAACGGTTTTATTCTTAATATTTAATCACACACAATCCTCCTAAACTCAACATTAATATCACATTGATTTTATTTTGTGTTATGAACAGGCTTGTCAGTTTAAATTCATAAAGTACATGCTTACTGAAATAGCTGTGGGTTACATTGTTGGTACTATATAAATACCATATTGGCCTGGGGCTCACCTTTGTCATTTTAGGCCTCGTGTCGATTTTTAGGATAATTTTGCACAAACAAAAATGGTACATATGATTTTGTTTTGTTTTTTCATCCTGAAAGTGTTCTCCATTAATGGGACAATCTAAACAATATAACAGCTGTAATAAGTTTTAGTTCCATCCCCTAATTTCCTTTCAGTGCTTGTTCTCTCTAGTCTAGCCCATCTGCTGATGCATTATTCACCTGAATTTGGACAGTAGTTATGGGCTGACTGGTTGCATGGCTTTGGTTCGATAATGTGGACATTGCACTTCCACATTAACAGCATAAAAAATGGTTTTAAGGGATGAACCTGATGGACTTTAGTCAACCTAGATTACTATGTAACATTATCTAAATGGCAGGAGAGTTGTCCATTCTGTCCCACCATCTCACCTTATAACTACCAAAATGATTGGATGGGGAAGGTTGGGGGACAAACAACCACTTCTACATTTCTAGTGGTTATGCTGTTTTGAGAGTCATGAGGTGTAATCTGCGATTGGGTGACAGGTAATCATATTAAAGTTGTACATGTTAGATTTACTTTGTTTTCAAAATATTAGTATTTTGCTTCAATTATTTTCTGAATGTTTCCACAGATAATGAAATAGAAGAAGAATCAGAGGATGATGAGGATTATGTTCCTTCAGAAGACTGGAAAAAGGTACCAGTTGGAAATTTCTATTTGTGTGTTGGTCTGCGACCTGTAATCTCCCCTACCAAGTGATCAAGATGACTCCAGAGGTTGTCAAGGCAGGGTGCACTGGCCATTCTTATGAGTTACCCATGTGTTTGAGTTGCCTGGCACAGGATGCGTCCAGGCTTTTTTCTTGACTTATTACATTGTATATATTTAAGTTATTTTATGCTGTTCCCTGCCCTGGTTGTTCCCTTAAACCCTTTCCCTGTCATCACTGCAGAGCAGTGTTTGGAGGGGGTCCAATTAAGAATGGACATCTTCTTGCATTTCCTTTTCTAAGACTTCCGCTTGAATGACCCAATATTGTGGTCTTTAATATTTTTGCTACTCTTACGTAAGGCTTTTGTGCAAGGGCCTCCCTCCACAATGGCTGACAATACTCTTCCTCCCTAAATCCCTTTCACATCAACATTTGTTTCATTTGCCATGTACTGCCAAGGGACAATGCACTCTGATGCCGGTGTACTTGGAGTCTGCCCAGTTTTTTTTAAATTAATTTTTTTGTTCTTCTTCTTTACATGAAAATGGACAGTATTCACTCTTGCTTTAAAGAACTGAATAGCTTCTTTTCAACAAATTATAGGAATAACATTTTGCTTTTTAAAAAGTTTCATAAATTTTCTCAGCCATGTACTGAAACGTATCACAAAATTTACCTCTAAAATGTGCATGAAAAATATCATAATTTTTCCCAGATTTAGCTTATATGTCTGGGAGAACTCTCTAAATCTCAACTCCCCTAGTACTTTTATCAAAACTCTCTCATAACTTTCACACTAGGAGGATTAGTCCTATCCCACACACTTATTTCAGCTATTTTAGGTACATGTGTCATATAGTATATAGTGTTTGCTCTGTTTCTCTGGCTGTCCAGATTTTACATATTCCTCTCTTTAGATGGTAAAATAATCATACAAGTTAAAATGCTGTGAAGTGCAGCAAATCGGATCTATTTTCCTTCACTTTTCCATCATTATATACTTCACGGTCTGCCTTGCTCCGTATATGTAAGTGGCTAACGATTTTGAACGGAAGCAAAGCAAACGTTTCATTTCCATTCCATTCTTCAAAGCAAACGTTTAATTACCAATAAGTGCTTTAAAATATTTTTTGAAGAGCCGAGAGTTAGCCATTATTTCCCAAATTGTGAGTTGAACTCTGGTAACTTGTACCACCTCACCTGTTTAATAAAATGCCTTCCAGACCGTCAGCATCCCGACATTTCTATATACAGTACAGGGGAGTATATATTAGGCTCTCACGGAATTCTCTCGAGTGTGCTAGCCTGAATAAACAAGGTTAACCAGAACACTCGGCATTGTTTAGAAAGATAGCAGGATTTGGGGTGGAATAGTGTACGACGGACCTTTTGTGTAAAACAGAAATGCTGGGTTGTACCGTGGAACTTAAAATTACAGTATCACAAAGGCACCCAGTCTGGCATTTCTATTTTTCTAAATATGAGGGGTTGTGTACATACTGTGTAGTTAATGAGTTGTATTATATAACAATGCAACACAGTAACTTAATGTACATTTCCATTTTCACAGGAAATAATGGTTGGTTCCATGTTCCAGGCAGAGATTCCAGTTGGCATCTGCAAGTACAAGGAAACTGAAAAAGGTGAATGGTAGCACTATGTGGACTTTTCCTTGTACTGAAGGCTTTAATGAGTCTCCAGATCTAATTTGACTGGTCTCAGTGACACAATTACAGCTTTGCTAGTATAGCAGACAAGATGGCCACCTCCAAGGGCCTCAATAAAACTACATTTTGTAATCTTACTGTGTACATATCCCTTAACAAAACCTAAAATCTGGTCTCCATAAACTGTTGTATATTAAAAGTGGTTTCAGGGAAAGTTAGTTTGTTTTTGTTTTGTTCACATTTTATTTACAAGTACACAAGACTTTAATGCGTCATGAAAAGATGAGGTCCTCGGTGAGCACACAGGCTATCACTGGCTAAATGTAAATTAACTAGTAATCTGGGCTAAGAGTGTATAACCGTACGTTCTCTGAATATCATTCCATGCATCCGTGTGCTAGTGCGAGGCCCAGCTGTGGTTATGGTACAAGATCCTAAAAATCTCTCTTATGGAATTTGCTTTGAGTACCTCTTTGCTAGCTGTGGATTTTGTTTTAATTTTTAATTTCTCTTATGGAAATGCCAATTACTTTTTTAAAGGGTTAAATGTATATTTATATTTTTATTTTGTAGTGTATGAAAATGATGACCAGTTATTGTGGAACCCAGATTTTATAGTGGAAACAAGAGTTCTAGATTTTCTAAGTGAAGCGTCCAGAAGGACTGGTGAAGAGAAGGGAATAGATGCAATTCCAGAGGGATCACATATAAAAGATAACGAACAGGTACAGACCGTTCATTTTCCTCGGTTGTGTTGTCTACATTTGGGAATAGTGATGGGTATACATTATCAGGTTAGCAAATTTGAGATCGCTGAGTGGTCAGTATTTCTTTACTCACGTGCATATTCCTAAATCTACTCAAATGGCTGAAATTTAAAGCTAAGCACTGACAAGTTATTTGTTTAAAAAAACATCCCTTTTGGCATTTAAAGTTTAATTTCACCAAACTGATAAAATACTTATTTCCTAAACTCCACCAAACTACAAAAGTCTTGTCTCGATAAGGACAAATGCTAGGCATCTTTAATGTGTGCAGAAAATCAGGCTTATTTAATATACAAAGCAGTCTGAAGCATTGTACTGCGTCAGAGCCCCGCTCTGTGGCTTTTAGAACGCAGCGCCTGTACTTTGAGCCTCAAAAACTAGAACTTAAATTAATCTGTGTGATTTGCTTGGTGACAGAATGAGTCCCATTAGAGAATGGTTTCTCTGAATGGTAAAGGTTAGCACTGGATTAGTAAAGAAATTGGTGCTTTGTGCTGTCAAGTGTTTTAATCAGTCCTTGAGGTTGAGCTCATTCCTTGACCTACAGGAACGATCCATTTGGATAAACCCAAAAGAAAACATGAATGTTTTATTTATTTTTTCTGCATATTTTCTTTTTTGAAGTATATAAAAAGAATAGCCTACATCTGGTAGTCTTTATCCCCAGCACTCTATTTCAGTCTGTGCCAACAGATTGACCAGCCACAGGCTTCCAATTGGGAAGTCCCTATACTGAAGCCACAGGCTCACAAATTCATCTTCCCATGTGTAGACTGAGAAGTGGTGAAGACAGTTATGCTTTTGCCACACGTTTCTCAACCCGTGGCAGGGCATGCGCTTTGAGCTGGCTGACCACTTTAGCTCCCCACACTAGGCAGCCGGCTCTGCTTTAAGGCAGAGTAGGCAACTGCTTATCTGGACGCGAGAATGGAGGCAGCGAGGGAGTTGTAATGTCTGTGCTCTTCAAGCGCTACTCCCTTTGGTGCCCTGTGGTGATGATTATGCAAGCCACACACTGGACCCCATGCAAGGGATCCACTTCAGCTTTCCCAAACGTAGGGATGGTGGGTGGACTTAAATAAATAAAAATGTGTCAAATCAGTGACTGTGTCTGTCGGTGCCTTGTGTTTAAGTGTCTAATTAGTGAGTGTGTACTGCAGGGGTACTTCTATGTAAAAAAAACAAACCTTAAGAATCACTACTCTGACCTGTATGCCACTTCCATTAGCTGTGTGGAACCTTTAAATGCCAGACTGTGTTACTGGGCTTGTCTTCAGTAAATATCGGTAGTCCTTTAATTGGTGATAGGCATACATAGCAGATGTAGGAAAAGGGGTTGAGGGCTGCGCTTAGCAAAAGATAGACAAAACAAGGTAAAAATAAATAGAGATAAAAACAATAATAAGTTTATCCACATATAAGAGAGGTATAAGTTAAAACAGTTCTCACTGATGTGCAGTGATATAATATAAGTCCTCAAATGTCACTCCGTCCTTATGGTGGGTGGTCCATATATGTGAAGACAAAATGAGAGAAGAGAGGCTTCCAATGGTGAAATATTGTATGTCCAAAGTATAATATATATTCAAAGGAAAAGGTATTTCACTCACATTTGGTGGAGCTTTATCCAGCTCTCGGAGAGAAGGCACTTAGTGGTTTAATCCCCACTATCGGATATACTGAACAATTGATCTGTCCGTCCGGTTTGGAGTTTCTTTGGTGTAGGCTAGGACCTACTCAGATGTGCAATATTCGTTTTGCTGGGGAGATAGGTCCGCCTTTCCGGTATTGGGTGATGGGTGTCCACGAGATATATAAAACAGCAGATAGTGCTCTCAGTATGAATAACACAGTAATATGTATTAATCAATTATACTTACAAAAATAGAGCAGACAGATACTGCTCTATTCCCACAGCGTTGGTGGAATTATCCCCACCTCAGCATTTCTTTGGACGGGATGCACTCCAGTGGTAGATGATAAAATAATACAGTATAAAATAAAATAAAAATAATAGAAATAAAATGATAAAATAATATAAAATATTATAAAATAATTGGTATAATAAAATTATGCCAGGGGTAAAAAGAAATTTTATCCAATTTCTTTTTACCCCTGGCATAATTTTATTATACCAATTATTTTATAATATTTTATATTATTTTATCATTTTATTTCTATTATTTTTATTTTATTTTATACTGTATTATTTTATCATCTACCACTGGAGTGCATCCCGTCCAAAGAAATGCTGAGGTGGGGATAATTCCACCAACGCTGTGGGAATAGAGCAGTATCTGTCTGCTCTATTTTTGTAAGTATAATTGATTAATACATATTACTGTGTTATTCATACTGAGAGCACTATCTGCTGTTTTATATATCTCGTGGACACCCATCACCCAATACCGGAAAGGCGGACCTATCTCCCCAGCAAAACGAATATTGCACATCTGAGTAGGTCCTAGCCTACACCAAAGAAACTCCAAACCGGACGGACAGATCAATTGTTCAGTATATCCGATAGTGGGGATTAAACCACTAAGTGCCTTCTCTCCGAGAGCTGGATAAAGCTCCACCAAATGTGAGTGAAATACCTTTTCCTTTGAATATATATTATACTTTGGACATACAATATTTCACCATTGGAAGCCTCTCTTCTCTCATTTTGTCTTCACATATATGGACCACCCACCATAAGGACGGAGTGACATTTGAGGACTTATATTATATCACTGCACATCAGTGAGAACTGTTTTAACTTATACCTCTCTTATATGTGGATAAACTTATTATTGTTTTTATCTCTATTTATTTTTACCTTGTTTTGTCTATCTTTTGCTAAGCGCAGCCCTCAACCCCTTTTCCTGTATCTTTTTTCCTTAAAGGGTTTTGTGAGGGATTCCCTTTTAGGGTTGCTGCTCAACTGAGTCAGCGCAGACTCTTCCTCTCTATTTTTATACATAGCAGATGTGCCTGGTAGCATTCTCTGACAAGTCTTTGCAAAGACAAGAGCCCAGAATGACAAAGTGAAATAGCTCAAGTGATTTCAAGCAGTTTCTGAAATGAAGACACCCCCCCCCCTTCCCCATGCACCTGGGAGTTAAGACTGTGGCATATTTGGATGTGGTTGGAAAGCAAGTTTTCTTGTGATAGGAAGAATCTTACCACATCCAGTCAAGCCAAATGTGTCTTCAAGTCCATTTGAAGCTGGTTTGCCATCTACTCCCCATCTCTTCCTCACATCTTTAACAGCCAGAGTGAAGATGTGACAGGTCATTTTCTTTTTACCCTATATCATGGTAAAACAATATGTGTAAACATGGCGTTGGCAAACCCTAAGCTGGCTTGAATGAGCACTTGATGAAATTGCCACTACACAGCCTCTCAAGATATAACTATATGTGACATAAATTTCAGCTGCTTAATTGAAACAAAAAGTCGTGATGCATAATGGGGTGTTGGGGACTTTGGGACTTATGAATCAAATAAACCACCAAACAAATTTGTAACCGAACCTGTACATTGTGTGAGACCCCAAGGGTGTTCCTATAGTTTTTGTAATAAAATTTTTTTGAATAAGTTGTGCATGTTTAAGGAAGAAAGAAGTCCAATATATCCTTGTTTGTTCCAGGCGCTGTACGAACTAGTGAAATGTAACTTTGACACAGAAGAGGCTTTACGAAGATTAAGATTTAACGTCAAGGCTGCACGAGGTGAGCACAACTTATGGTGCACTAAGTTAACCAAATTTCTTACATGGACATTTAATCACTAAATCCATAGGAAAAGTAAAATGTCTCCACTGCTGGAGTTATAGCTTGGCCTACATTTTTGCAATGTGGTTTTGCTTCAATACATTTAGTTAAAAACCCTATAAGGCTTCTTACTTGTACTTTAGTTTGTAACACAAAGCAAGGAATCACTGACTTGTGTACATAATGGGTCTTCTTTCTCACTACATTGAGTGGGTGGGTGAGTCCCACCACACAAAAACAAAAGTTTTAGACTTTAGAAAAACAGACTTTTCTAAAATTAGAATATGTGTAAAGCATTCATTCTCATACTGGAGCAATTTAAATGGCGTCCAAGAGAAATGGGATAATTTAAAAGTTGCACTGCTAAAGGCAACAGAAAATTGCATTAGGCTTGTCAATAAAAGCAAAAGATTCAAGAAACCACTGTGGTACTCCACAGATGTGGGCAAAATAGTAAAAAAACCCAAAAAGTTAGCATTTAGTAATTATAAAAAAAAAAACCCCAGAGTAATGAAGATAGACAGATCTATGTAAGATTAGGCAGAAAGAGGCTATGCAAGTTATAAGAGCTTCTTAAAACATTTTTTAGATACATAAATGAGAAAAGGAAAGTAAAACAAGGATTAGATTAAAAACAAAAGAAGGAAGGTATGTAGAAGAGGATAAAGGTCTAGCTGACTGCCTCAATTAATATTTTTGTTCAGTATTTACAGCTGAAAATGAAGGAAAGGGGCCTCAGTTAGGAAAAGGACACATGAGTCATTTGTTACATGTGAGTTTACAGAGGAAGAGGTTCTATTTCAACTGTCAAAAGTAAAGACAATGGGACCTAATGGAATACACCCAACATTATTAAAAGAGCTTAGTGGCAAAACCATTAACAGATTTATTTAACCAATCATTGTTAACAGGAGTAGTCCCAGAAGATTGGAAGTTGGCGAATGTTGTGCCCATTCACAAGAAAATAGTAGGGATGAGTCGGGCACCTATAGGCCAGTAAGCCTTACTTCAGTAGTTGGGAAAGTAATGGAAACCATGGTAAAGGATAGGAATGTTGAACATCTAAAATCACATGGATTTCAAGATCGGAGGCAACATGGGTTTACTTCAGGGAGATCATGCCAAACTAATCTTATTGTTTTTTTGTTTTTTTTTGATTGGGTAACTAAAATAATAGATCAGGATGGTGCAGTAGACATTGCTTACCTAGATTTCATTAAGGCTTTTAACACTGTTGCACATAGAAGGATTATCAATAAACTGCAATCTTTAAGTTTGGATTCCAATATTGTTGAATGGGCAAGGCAGTGGCTGAGTGACAGGCAACAGAGGGTTGTAGTTAATAGAGTATATTCGAAGCATGGGCTTATCACTAGTGGGGTGCCTCAGGGATCTGTACTTGGACCCATTCTCTTTAATATTGATATTGCAGAAGGTCTTCATGGTAAAGTATGTATTTTTGCTGCTGATACAAAGATATGTAATAGGGTTGATGTTTCTGGAGGGATAAGCCAAATGGCAAATGATTTAGGTAAACTAGAAAAATGGTCAGAGTTGTGGCAACTGGCATTTAATGTGGATAAGTGCAAGATAATGCATCTTGGACGTAAAAACCCAAGGGCAGAGTACGGAATATTTGATAGTACTTACCACAACATCTGAGGAAAGGGATTTAGGGCTAATTATTTCACATGACTTAAAGGTAGGCAGACAATGTAATAGAGCAACAGAAAATGCTAGAAAAATGCTTGGTTGTATAGGGAGAGGTATTGGCAGTATAAAGAGGGAAGTGCTCATGCCATTGTACAGAACACGGAGACCTCACTTGGAGTATTGTACGCAGTACTGGAAACCATATCTCCAGATAGTTATTGATACTTTAGAGGGAGTTCAGAGAGAGGCTACTAAACTGGTTCATGAATTGCAGGATAAAACTTACAAGGAAAGGTTAAAGGGACACTCCAGGCACCCAGACCACTTCTGCCCATTGGAGTGATCTGGGTGCCAACTCCCACTACCCTTAACCCTGCAAGTGTAATTATTGCCGTTTTCATAAACTGCGATATTTACCTTGCAGGGTTAAGTCAGTCCTCCTCTAGTGGCTCTCTACTAGACAGCCACTAGGGGACACTTCTTTGTTCATAGAACACAAAAAGTGGTTTAAAACGACGCTCGACGTCCTCCAGCGTCGCCGAAATTCCCATAGGAAAGCATTATTCAAAGCTTTCCTATGGGGACGGCCACGCATGTGCATTTGGTCTGCCCCGCCGGCTGACGTCGGCGGGGAGGAGTGTAGGCGGAGCCTGATCCAGCGCCCTGGGACATCGGCGCTGGACTCCGGTAAGTCACTGAAGGAGTTTTAAGGCTATTCTAGCTATAAGATAAGGCCAAGGACTAATGAAAATATTTAGAACATTGGGCAGACTAGATGGGCCCAATGGTTCTTATCTGCTGTCACATTCTATGTTTCTATTTGATACTTTGAAAAGGGCTGATTTCAGGAGGTACATGGCTCTATCTAGCTCTCGTGCTCTTCCTACCTTTCTGGTGTTTTCGTTATCTGAGGTTATCGTGCTCAATATCTTTATATTATAGTACAAAATAAAGCTCATACAAAAATGGATGTGGTAAATTTCTCTGCCATAATATAGTATATGTGCAACCTCTTGTTCATTTATGGATGCCCATATTTTCTATTGCTGAACTACCATTCTGTAATTTAAAACAGATACAGACTTAATATTAAAGACAGTGTGTACATGTTTTATAAAACTACTTTCCTAATATACATATATATTATAAGACCTTTATAAAATGCTCACAATCCTTTTCTCATTTCTGGTCCAATTTTTTTCAGAATTTATTTTTTTTGTTTTTTAACCGTTCCCTTTATCCACCATGACCTTGTTATTGACCTTCTTCTTATACAATCTGTCTCTCTATCGTGATGTCACACTCTGCCTCCTGTATCTTTACGGCTAGCAATGTAGAGTCACAAACTCATATTCCTGGCTGGCTGTTTATCTGTTTCTGTAGTATGCTCCATTGCTGGCTGTTGTACTGTCTCTCCTTTCCACACTTTGTTCCTGGCTGTTGTGCTCTGTTGCTAGCTGTTTGACTGTATTGCTTGTTGCTTTCTGCCTTTTTATCACACTCTGTTCCAAACTGCGTCTGTGCTCTTTCTGTTTCACGGTCATCTTTCACCAATCCTGTCCCATTTTTACTGTAAACAACCTAAATACCTAGTAATGTAAAGCACATTGTGTCTGTAATATGCCACCAAATGTCATGGTATCTGAAATCTGGCTACAGGTAGATATTAATATTGTTTTCCTCAGAAGAACTGTCAGTTTGGACGGAAGAAGAATGTAGGAATTTCGAACAAGGACTGAAGGCATATGGGAAAGATTTTCATTTGATTCAAGCAAATAAGGTAAAATTTATCATTTTTTTTTTTTATTGAGATCTAGCATGATCAGTGTGAGGTTGGAAGGTTTAACAATGCAGTTCTAGATGTAAGGCACTGTTGATATGATAGAAATAAACTTAAAACTATCTAATTCATTTCAGGTGAGGACCCGGTCTGTCGGGGAATGTGTAGCATTTTATTACATGTGGAAGAAGTCTGAACGTTATGACTTCTTTGCCCAGCAAACGAGATTTGGAAAGAAGAAATATAACCTGCATCCTGGTGTCACGTGAGTATTTAATCCAATGCTTTACTTGTGCATACTGCCCCCTGCAGCTGGGTTGTATGTGTAGATTTACTTATGCGACTGCTTTTTGATTTGATGTGTATCAGCAGCCGTAGTTATAAATGGAGTTGGTTGCTGATGGCAACTGCACTAGGACTGCTGTCCATTTAGTGCATTATTTCCAATTTACTGCAAGGATTTGGCAGTTTTTATAAGCTCCATTTATAGTAAGCTGGGAAGGAGCCTCTCCTTAGAGGGCGGAATTTTGCGTCTTATAATATATAAATGTTTGGGCAGCAGACTAGGCTACGAGGGGTATCTGTTATCTTGCCTCATAAATGATGCAGACCAACCTCTCTCCATACACGGCAAAACTCTTTGCGCTTGAGCTGTTTGCCATTATACAACACCAGTAATTGCATGACCCCTTTGCTTGTCTGTTGCCAGGATGCTATGGTGCTAAATATGCACAGAATTTACAGTCTGCATAGACCAGTGACACTGCTGGAAGTGGAGTTATCTAACATTCCACCTTTTAATACATAACCTTTTAATACATAACAGACTCCAAGCACCATAACCTCTTCAGCTCACTGCAGTGGTCAGAGTGCTCGGAGAAACACTTTAAGGGCAGTTTGCTTATTATAACATTGTGGTGTTTGTGCATTAAAACAATAAACCTTTAAATGAAAATGACAGTTTGGCATGTCCTCTTTGGTTTAGTTGGTATTAACAAGAAATGTGTGTGATAGAATTTTGTTATTTTAATGTATTCTGGTTTGTACATATTTAAGGGATTACATGGATCGCCTGCTGGATGAAAGTGAAAGTGCTGCGTCGAGCAGAGCACCCTCCCCGCCGCCGGCTACCTCAAATAGCAGTAACAGTCAATCGGAGAAGGAGGATGGCACACCTGGCACTAATCAAAATGGTATGAAGGGGCTTCTGTGCACTTTATCAATATTTATATTTGCATTGAATAACATAAACAAAACCTTATATTCTTCCTGTGCGGCAAACTTTGATGTAAGTGACTCATACATTGTCTTGTAATTCACAGAGCACAATGTATAGGTTTTTCATTATATAGAGCATATAATGATGGTTTATACTGCACTGCAGATCTGTGGAGGGATAAGAGGAAAGCTTTGTTTATAGTTTTATGCCTGGATTATTTTGTAACCATTTTAAAATATAAAATAACTTTATGCCCTTCATCAGCATCACATTGTCAGACCTGTTGACTAATAGCCAGTGTTCCTTAAAGTAAATAAGGCCTGCAGTGGCCACAAAGTATAAAATCACAAATATGTGCCATTATTTGTTGATCCTTTTCCCCTAAGCAGTTATCAGAACTGCAGATAAAACAAAACCTCATGAGCACCAATTACTATTATGCCTTTTATATCAACAGATTTGTATTTAAGATCTCTATACATATAGTCTTCACATATATCTCCACTGTTTTATTCACACATTCATCTGTTTGCTCCTTTGATGAGTAGTGCAATAGACTCAATACATGGGCTGCATATTGAGAGTGGATATTTTTATTAAATGTAACATAGAACCAAAGTTTGTGTTAGCTCAATGCATAGACTTTTTGCAGAGCCCAGTTACTCACCACTAGGTAACCGTTGGCTGAGTGCAGTGCCGAATGATGTAAAGCACAAGCCTGCGCTTATGAGTTTTTGTTTTTTTTGTTTTTCACGGATACACCCTATATCCTAGCACAGGGGTAGGTAACATTCGGCACTACAGATGTTGTGGACTACATCTCTCATAATGCTGAAAAGCATTGGTGGAGATGTATTTCACATCTGGAGTGCCGACTTACCTACAACTGACCTAGCAAATGGTTCAACAGTGTGATTGTGAAGGTTCCTCATTCAGTCACCATAAACAGAGAACTAACATTCCACCTTTTAATACATAACTGAAGCTGAGCCTGTTATCCACACGGTTTGGAAATGACATGCTCCTTTTATATGAAACATGCCACAGAATTATTATGCAGTAATCCTGCCTCTTGCCTACAAAGAATTAAACAATCTAACATGACTGGGCATTTTATTGCAGGTGTAGCTGCCAATGGCCCTTCAGAAATGTCTGCGTACAGAGATGAAGCCAAGCCAGAACTTGCACGTTTAAATGGTCCAAGTCTTGGAACTGCCGACCCTTCCTCCAATGACACAGACACCAATGGTTACAACCAGGAAAATGCTATGGGTGACTCCAAGTTTAGCCATTCTAATGCAAGACATGACTCCGATGTAGATGAGCAAAGTGATCGATCTGTAAAGAGGCGAAGAATTGACAGCCCTGGGAAAGACAGCCCAGGATCTTCTGAATTTTCTCAGGAAGTTTTCTCAAACAACAAAGTTTAAAACAATTTTGAAAATTCTTGAAGTCTAAGACACTTTTGAAACAAACGCGTTTCTGGGAAACTTGTAATTTCAGGGCTGGCTGGTTATTTATCAAAATCTATATATCTTGTTTTGGAGGGTTTTTTTTCCCTCTGCTGAGCCCCTGCAGAGTTGAGCCCAAGACTACGGTGAAAAACATTTTTGTACAGTTCAGAAGGGGCAAATTTTGGATTCGTATTTAAAAATAAAAGCCTGCCCACAGAATGTATTTTTATCTAACACAGCAACACGTGTAAAAGAGCTGGAAACGTACTAATAATAATTCTAATTTATCCTGATTCTCCAAAGCAAGCAGGTCATTTTAAACGTTTGTTTCAAAAGATGTCCGATGTGGAAATTGCTAAAGAACGCCAGGGAACCTGAACGCTCCCACAGCGTTTTTATAGATAGAAGTTGAACAAATAAACCAAATGGTTTGTGTTTATAAATTTTATTGACATCAATGATGTCTTCTATTCCGATCTGGGCCGATAAAGATACCTTGTGTATTTTTCCAGATTTTTGTAACCTTTGAAAGATTTTTACAGTTGCCTATGTTTTGATTGAACTGCCCTTTCTTAAACAAAGCTTGTATAATTTTCTTAACTTGTACAGTTGATAAACTTTTATTATGAAAAATAATATTATGATGGTTTTATGTCCACTTTCCTCTCACCAAGGTAAAAAAATGGTGGAAAAAAGTTAGAAAAACAACACACACACGTTTATTCCTTAGCATTTTCAGTGTTTAGTTGGAGGTATCTACATGCCGAAATGCTTTTGTTCATCTGTCATTCTCAAAAAGCAACATTTTGCAGGTTAATCAACTAATTAAAAACTACACTCCACACTGTGCCCATTTAATCTGACAATGTCTGCTCATTTCTATTTTTCCCCCTCACTCTGAATTGTAAACTTGATTTGGTGTAACATTGTAACGACCGCTTATGAAGGAATTAATAATGTATGTTTGGATTTACTAGGTATTTTGATTTGTAGACTTTCATCAATGGCACATTTTGGGGGGAAATCTTCAATTTATGATCACTGCTAAATATTGAAATTTTGAACAAGTAGACATGTTATTTTAGTAACGCATATCAAGCAAATTACATATATTTTGTAACTCGCCATGCAATTCGTATATATTTCCAATGCCTGTGTATTTACATTTGAGATTTATACTGAAAATGTAATAACGTAAGCCTATTTTCTGCAGTTTGTCGCATCAGTGGGTGCATGATTAATACTATGCCCAGCTTTGTGATTGAAGCACAACCTCTTTCTTATCCAGTGAATCCCGTCTCTTGTCATCTTTAGACTAACTCCAGGTGTAAAAATTGAATAATGTAGCTCATTCGCTTATAACAGATATTAAAAATATACGCACTGGTCGCTGTAGCATATTTTGGAAACTCTATTAGATCTGTTTACATGTGTATATAAAATTTTACCCTCTGGTGTAGTTATCTATATGATCATTTCTGGTTATGTTTTAGAAGTAACTATGGAATGGGGGGGTGTGGCTTACCGGTTATTAACCCCTTTCACTGCCAAGGGGGCAAGGCAGGTTCCATTGGCTGTCACAGTCTTCTAATTCCAACAAACTGACATATGTCCCTGCTTTGTGAACACCCCCAATCCTCAGATCTAAATATATCATGTGAAAGATAATTATAGGATTTTAATAATTTATTTTATATCAGCAGCTTTAGATATGTATATGTGACCTTCTTTTTTTACAGATTTGTGTTCATGCTGCCCTTTTAAGTGTATATTAAATAGTTTTGTAAAATGCAGTGTATGCTGGGAAGCTGGGTATAAATGATTTTGCAGTTTAGTCATGCAGTTTTTGCCCTTTTTGACACCTACAACTCATTTTTAACCCATTATGTGCACAAATTGTTGCACTGTGTTGTTCCCTCATCTGGTGCACAACAGGTTAATTTGCTTCCGCAAGCCAATATGTGGCAGCCTTAATATTAAGTGTGTGAAATGTACATTGTTTTATCCATTTCATTTGTGTAATGCCACTTTAAATTTCCCAGTGCATCATGGTATTCAGAAGCAATTTTTGTAAAAAAAAAAAAAAAAAAAAATTGTGTTTTTTTTCATTGTTTTAAAAGTTAGTTTCGCATTTCCACCAATGGCCTAGTTTATTGCACTATCTATCCTGTTTAAATCATGGAAGTTTACTTCTATACATTTACCCACAAATTATTTCTACTGTTTGAAGGTTTGTGTTTCAACCAGTGAATTGCTCTGTACAAGTGAGTCTGTTTTTGGTGTTCAGTTGTTTCTTGGAAAATGATATAGTGCATTATTCTTGCTCATCTCGTCCAAACTTTTAATTGAATGTAAGTTATCGCAGAATCACATCTGATGTCTGCTCACATTTCAGCCATTTTTCACTCATTTTGCACTGTTGGTATTTTTGCCGCTAGTCCTTGACTTTTGTCTGCAAAAATCTATTAAAATATTTTTTTGGAAGCAGTCTTTTGATTTGTGTTCTGTGGAATTCTTCTGTAATGTCCAGTAAGGGCAATGCAAAGTACAAGTTAAATAGAGATAAAATTGAAGCTTTGTATAAAACAAGAGCAGACAGTAAGAATTGTAAAAACTAAAATAGCAGGGCAACCCTCCAATGTGACGCTCCATTTGTAACATTCTATTGTATGAACGTGTGCTATCAGTCACTCTGTTCCTATAATCTCTTACTAGAGTCACCATAGCGCATGCGCCGTGTTTGCTGTGTGCAGAGAGCAGAAGGACCACCTGTTGGAGATCTTTTCTGCTCTCCTTTGTCTGTCTTCAGCATAGTCTCTGCCAAAGAATTGACTTATGGGTGGGAGACCTGTAAACCTGCCAGCCCAAAGTCTAGATGAAATTTTATGCTGTTAGGGGAAAAAAAAGTAGTAAAAGTAGTTGGTACCATGAAGGTGTCCTTTTAAACACTCTTCCTGAGATGACAGGGGTATATGGGGTGCATGAGGAAGCATCTAGATTAGGCTGTTGGATGGTAAAAATCCCTATTTGCAGGAGGAGCACAGGCCTGCAGCAGTTGATCTGCCATTATCAAGACTATTTAGTTTTGGTTTTCCCATCTCCAGTACATACCTCAGTTGTTTAGATTACAGGCTTGTGGTATTACTGTAGCACTGAATATTTGTGTTCAGGCTTTATATTGGTGAGCATAAGTAAATGCAGGATAAAACCAAGCAGATCACGGCTAGTCTGTTAGACTTGGGCTCCGCTAAAATGTTTGTTGTCTGAATAAGTTCGGACAGGAAAAAAATAAAATGTTCTTCAAACCAAATGTGTACCCTTGTGGGATTGCCATCACTTAGGGAAACCAAATTAGGGAGTAGTATTTAGTACATAGCTCCTTTTTTGGTATCCTTATGCCAATTCTACATGGGGATTAAGGAGCTATCTACGAAGAAGCTGAAATTTACAAAATGCCCTTGGTCTGTCAAATTTACCAAGTTAATAAAAAATAAAAAAAAGATACTTTAGAATAAATGAATTAGGGTGTGAGCTCTAATTACAGTGGGTGGAGGCCCTTAATAATAGGAATGGACCTATTTTCCCTGCCACCCCCTCACACATTGGTGTCTGGGTGCCCTAAATAATAAGGGGGATATACCTATTGCCACCCCCATTGGCAGCAGTGGGAAGCTAATATTAAAATGACCTCTTAAGGGTCCCTAAACCCCTAGTCATTCACCCTACCAATTAATAGTGATGGTAGGGCCAATAAACTAAATACCTGTAAAAGAGATTGCATACTTACCTTTACCAAAAAAGGGCCAAATAAAAATCCATAACATTGCATTGCAACTAGTGAAATAAAAAAAAAAAAGACCCAAATTAGAATTCTCGACAAACAATCCATATTCAGGAGGGCTCCGCACAGACTGAGCTTGCAGACTTTAAAGGCTTTCCCACCTTGCAATTTCAGTCAGAGCACTCTGGTTGGCTTAGAATCAGAGTGCTCTGACTCAAAAAACTCAACTTGAAAAAAAAAAACCAACCTTTTAAAGTTTTCCCTGCCATGCCAACGATTCGGACAAATTCTATGTCCCTGAGAAAGTGAAGACCTATACCGTGATTACAGGCTATAATTGATGGGATGTGTGCTACAGCCATGGAATAGAGGAAATGGGCTAATGGCTGAACTTCATGGGCTGCAAGCCTTTTTACTACAGCCCCGACGAGAGCCTAATAAAAGGGCTATTGGTTGCACATCATGGCAGTCTCTCTATATTATAAGACCAGGTCAGACTGTGCCTAAAAGTATACTTGGCTCAAGATATGTAGAATGGAACATTCATTAATCCACTGCATATGTGACCAGTATAAATTCTGTGTGTTAGCTGGTTTGAAGACATAGCCACAATATATTTGACCGATCAAGTGTTTTAAAACTCTAGTCCCAACAGATGGAAATGCTCCTGGTTAAGTGTTCTGTATGGGAATAAAGACCTAAGTCAATGTTTCCTGCTGTTGATTCAAAAGCAGGCAAAACAAAACACACTAAATTGTAGCTATTTCCAATTATGCCACAAAAAGGAAAGCATTCTTTCTTGACTCTCTAATGGCAATCAGATTTCTCCATAGATGATCAACCTGTTAATGTACATAATTATATCATTGAATATTCTGTTTATGCAAAAAAAAGAAAAAAAATCAAGCTTTTTACAAAAATATCCATAGAGTGATAAGACAATCTCGTTATGCAGGGAATTCCACATCTTTATTGTCCTTACTGTAAAGCACCCTTCCCTCTGCTGTAAGAGAAACTCCTTTCTTCCAGTCTCAATGTGTGACCAATGTGGCGATTGAAATTTACAGGAATTTAATTTGTTCATCACCAGCTAAAAGGATGTGTCTAGTTGTTACATCGAATACATACCACTAGAGGTCATTATGTACTAAGTTTACCGATACATGGCACTTATTAATACATAGTTAGGAACTCTATGATTTTATCCTGTTCATGTGAAGTGGGTTCTAGATAGTTGTAGTGATCTTAATATTTTAGAATCCCTAGAACTATTTTTTTTGCTGCAGTTAGACCCTATCCACAGCATGCATGTGGTATCTATATCATTTACATTATTCTTGCAAAGTTTTATTTTTTTGGACAGATGAAACGGTGCCTGTGAATTTTGTTGAAATTCCAAACCTGATTCTGCTACTGTGCTGCCCAATGTCCCTTCATTTTTAAATAATTTCCCTACCTACTACGGTCTATAGCAGTCTTACAAATATTTTCCCTTTGATGTTGACTAAAGTTCTTTTTTACGGACAGGGTGACAAGTGTTTTAATGGGCATGAAAGGAGCCTTGCCACTGGAAAAAAGGTAAGCATTTATTAAATTTTTTTTAATTTGCAAACCCTCCACTTCTAACCCAACCCAGACTTTGTTACTGTTTAATCACAGACTCCAAGTGCAACTCAATGAGAAGTATTTGCAAGGCAGGTGCTCTGGGCAATTGTCTCTCTCGAGTTTACCTCCACTGAGCTAAACAAACCAGGAAGTAACATGACCCATTGTCTGATCACCAGGGAGGTGTAACAAGGTTAATATATAAAAGTGCCAATTTTTATTGAAATCTGCACTTTTTGTAAAAGGGGACAAAAAAAGGGCAAGAATTTAGCTTGTTTGTGCCTTATAGGTCTGGAGTGTACCTAAGCTTTACTTAATAACCCCTGTAAATGTAGGGGTTTATGGTCAGTGGTTCACCTGAGAGCTGTGCTGTGCAGTAAAAGAAAATGTTCACTTAATACTAGATAGTTATATGGAATTTGCCCGGTGCGTGTTCAGGTTCTACACCCTAGTAATTACACTAGCCAAAAAAGTAGGAAAACAAAATTCACTAAGTAAAAAGTAAATACTTTTTCCCTGTGTATAAAGGCATTACACACAAGATTGAAATAAAAGGAGTTAGTTTTTAATTTTAACACCTTATGCCCAAACTAATGCTTGGTCAAGGTGTAAATAGAAGACCAATTGATGGCTTTTAAATTTGTTCTGGAGAAGCCAATGCCTTAGAGACCCATGACGTTGAAACAGCTCCATTGGATTGAGCTCATTGCCTGCTTCACCAATACGTCTCCTCCTTGATTGCCAACAAAACTGTGTCTTTGATCCAGCTCGCTAATGTTATTTTGGATGCCATATCACCTTTGTTTGCTTCCTTGTAGAGGACAGATGGATGAGATGAGTGGCGTTCAGATGCAATGCTTTCAATTTGAAGGTTTTGGGTCTCTAGCAGGATCAAATAATACTCCTGAATGTTGTCCTAAAAGGCACATCAGAATGGAGGACCAACTTCTCATTGGCCAAAAGGGAATAATGGTAATCCAAGAATTCCCTTTGATTTTCTGTATCACCCTTGGAATAAAAGACAATTGGAGGGAAAATGTACGAGAAATTGAATTTCCATTTCATGGCTAGAGAACCCAGGAAATCTTTTTGCTCTTGTCGACAGACGCAAAGACTCATTTTTCTCATTACAACAAGAGGCCATCAAATCTATGTTCAGCTGACTGAACCTTTCTATCATCTCCTGAAAAATGTCCCTAGAAAGATACCAGTTTCCCTGTATAATGCATTCTGCAAGAAAATCCCTTTAATAAGAATGGCTGAAAGAGCAAACAAATTATCTTTGGCCTAAATCATGCTGTTGTTGCTCGAGCAGGTAATGGAGTAACGAGTTCCACACGGATTGTTTAGACAGGCTATAGTCGCCACGTTTATTGACCTGATCTGAATATTTTGACCTTCTATCCTCCCCTTGAAATACATGAGAGCCACAAACGTTGCCATATATTCAATGAAATTCCAATTTCTCGAACAGTGAACATTTACTGCTGACTTTTGTGTGCTACCCAACCCAATACTGTAGTAATGATATCTTTGAGCCTGAATGAAAGACCATGGGAAAGAAAAGGTGTAGTCATCCACCAATTGAAACTTTAGAGCGTGGATACCCATAAAAGGCATTAGATAATCCAGAAAAGGATCCCTGTGGCATTTGTGAAGAACACAATATCTGTGAAATTGGAAAGTGGAGATATTCGTCCTTTTAGTCTAGAAAAATTATGCGATCTCCCTGTTGAAGCTGGATTGCTGATTGAATTGTCTCTATTCAAAGTTTCTTCACTACATGTGGATTTACCTATTTCAAGTCAAGAATGGGTCTGTATGTCTTGTTTGGCTTCTGTACCAGAAAAAAAATCTTGAACATTCCTTTGTATCTTTCTGCTATCACCATTTCCCTCATTACATTCTTCATTGAGAGTTTCTGAACTTCATGATGTAAGTGAAGAAAGTTTTTCTGAGCATTCCTCTGAACAAGTAAAATATAGAGAAGAAATTGAATCAAATTCTATACCTTTTATATTACCTAAAGAACCCAGGATTCTTTAGTGGTCTGTTTCTATCTATCTGTCAAAGAACCCCAACAGTCTTCATCCTACCAGCCTTG